ATTCATTCTTATTTCTTTCACTATCTATCATTCTCATATGATCCTTTCTCTATATATATATATATAAGATATTTATATTCGCATTTAAATTTTTAATTTGGATATGAGATGAAAAATGGATGTGTACAAAAAAAAATAGGTACCCATAATCCACCTAATAGGAGATTCTTTATATACCTTAAAATATTTTTTAGTTAGATAAATATAGACAAAATAATTATCAATTAAGTTGAACAATCTGAAATATAAAGATTAATTTCTGTATTTAACATTCATTATTAAATAAATTCAAACATTTAATTGTTACAATAATATATGAGATTTGTAGATAGATAAATAGGGATAAGAAAAGACAGTTTTGCTATGAAACCATCGGATGGCTCGGCTTATGGAGCCATCCATAGTTATTGACAAATGATGTATTGACACGTGTCCTGTAATATCTAACAATTAAGTTGGCATGACCTTTTCAAAAATATTTCAAAAAATTTCAAATGTTTTATTCGTTAAATAATTGACTGGATTTTTGTAACAAAATTTACACATTTGACCGAAAAATGTAAAGAAATGATTGATCGGAATTTTTCAGAAGCAAGATTTTCAAGATTCTTTCTCATTATTGGCCAGATTTACCCATAGCGTTTAAGGAAATCATTGTCCATATTTTTAAGAATTAAGATTTATACAATATCTTTCTCAAATAACTTTTCTTATAAATTTGAATTCAAATTTTCATTCCATTTTCCAAAAAAAAAATATACTAAGAATAGTAACTTAAAAATTTTAAGTGAAAATTTTAATACTCTTTCAAGTAAATCTCTTTCTCTATTATATAATAATAGATTCTTCAAAATAACCTATAAAAAATTAATAAATTGTGTAATAGTATATGAGATTAATTGTTGAATGATTGTTTTGCAACCTAAACTTCTAATATATTCAGTTTCTTTGCTTAAAATACATTAAAACATTTTTATAGAACAAATGAGCTCTTAATGTATTTTTTCTTTTTAAAAATAAGATACTAATATCCTAATATAGAAAGGATGAAATAAACATATTACAACTCCACAAAAAATATATAAAAAATAAGTCCCCAATGAAAAAAAAACACTAATAAGGATCTAATGTATATTATAGATGCATTAGTTTTTTTATGTATTAAATATAGTTTTGACGTTATCATATAAAACATTTACACCCGTTGGAACCCAATACATTAAAAGTATTTCTTCTTAATTTCATATGACAAAACTACTATTATAATAAAGCAATGTTATTTTTAAATAAATTAGACATTTTACCAAAGGAATTAAGAAAAATTTTGCAATAGTATTGTTGTATTGAGCTTCAACGGATATGAATATTTCTTATGAGAACGTAAAAATCAAAATGAAAGAAAATTACTCTTGAATCATCTAACATAAATAAATAAAAGTACTAATGCATCTATAATATACAGGATTCTTTTTTAGTTATTTAGTGTTTTTTTTTTCATTAGTGTTTCATCATTCATAAATTTTTTGTTGGGGTTATAATATGTTATTTAATTCATTTTATATTAGGACATCATTATGTAATTTTTGAAAAAAAAAATACATTAGGAATTCATTTATTCTACATTTTATTTTGTTCATGTAATGATATGTTAATAAATAAATTAATTTATCTTACTAAACTGAATCGACAAAAAACATTCACTACCACGTGCGTTGCACCTGCAAATAAGTCTTGAAAATACAGGAAAAGTTAATGAAGCTGCAAAAACAGAGCATCTCAGCATATGTATGACAAGAATTAATGTGCATTGAAATTTTGGTGTATGAGCTTCCTCCAAATCTCTTAAAATTCCTAATTTATTTGTCTATGAAAGATTATTGGTTCGGATTAAGTCAAGGTCGTCTTGTAACTCCAACATTTCATTTTCTTCCATTTATGAGATGATGAGACAAGTCAATACTTATTTGCTCTACACATTTATTGTTTTGATCCGTGCTTACATTTTATTAGAAATTTTAAAAACACAACTTAACTATATATGTCAATTTATGTACTCATGCATAAATGACAAATTTTACAATTGGGACTTTTTTAGGACTTTTTAAAGTGAACGATAATGGTAGACTTTGTGAAACTTTAATGGCATGATTGGTATGATGGAAAGAAATTTCGTAGAAATGGAATGAATTGAAGAATGGAATGATTATGAGAATGGAATGAAACATGTTTTGTCATTGATGCGTTTGGTATGCAGAAAGAATAGGACTAGAACGGAATGACATTATCATTTTTTATTATAAAAATAAATAAAATCTTTTTTTCAAAAATAATATACTTTTAATAAATTATATATAAATGCTTTTTCAATAATATATAAAAATAAATAATATATTGTTTAATAATATAAAAAATAATATATTTTTAATAATATATAAAAATAAAATAATATATTTTAAATTTTTATTATATAAAATAATATATTTTTAAAAGTAATATATTATTAATATATAAAAATTAATATATTTTTAATAAAATTTAAAAATAAAAAGTAATATATTTTTAATAATATATATTTTTAATATTTTTCAATAATATATTTTTAATAATATATTTTTAAATTATATATAAATGCATTTTTTAGTTTTATTTTTATGTAAGTATTTAATATATCTAATTAAAAAATAAATAAAAGTAAGTTTTTCAATTTTTTTTATTTGAATTTTTTTTTAAAAAACAATTTTATTTAATATATTTTAATCATGATTTATAATATATATTATATATTTATTTTTTATTATTATTTGTTAATTTTATTTTTTGAAAAATTGATTCCTAGATATGGAAATGAGAAAACCTTACATTTACTATGGAATGGCTAATACCATGGAGATGAGTTTTGTCATTCCCATTGGATTTAACATTCCTTCCCAAAAATTATACCAATCATGGGATAAGGAATGAGTAAGAGAATGATCGTTCCATTCTCATGTCATTCCTTCCTACCAATCATGCCATAATAACTTTGATGGACTTTGAGAAATTTTTATAGAATCCTTATCATACTTTTTAAAACTTATTGAGACTTGAGACTTTTATGTATTGATAGTATAACTACTACATTGCATAAAATGTTGATGGACCTCGCATCATAACCAGTATTAATAAAAGCAATCTAGTTTTTTTACTCGAAAAAAAAAAAGAAAATGCTAAAGTGAAATTATTTTATATTGCGGCGGATTCGGTCGGGTGGATGGTGCCTCGGTTGTTCGACGGCGATGGTGTCGGACGGCCGAAGCTCCGCTGTGCTTCCATCCTTTTTCCCCGTTCCTTTGATGTTGGGTCCGGGGTTGACCATTGCTCTGACCTCCGGCCAGTGGTGATGGCAGAGGTGGGGCAGTGGTATGTGGTGGTGTGCAGTGGTTTCGGGTGGTCGGTGATGTGGTTGCGGCCTCGGCATCTTTGTGGTTCGGGAGTTTATCGGGTTTGGTTGGACTCGCTAGTGGTGTTAGTGGGCTCGATCACGTGGTTGTCCTGAAGCATTTTTGATGTTGAGGTTGTGGCTCGAGTTTGATTTCGGATGTTGTCCTGGGGCTTGGGTTTTGACTTCGTTAGGCCACCAAGTTGGTGTTTGGGCAGTTTCGGGTCGGCTCTCTTTGGCTGTGGGACTCTCTCTGGATTGACTCGGTATCCATCGGCTCAGCTTGGTTTCGCTGCTTAGGAAGGGCTTATTTAGTGTGCTTAGTGTTTGTTTGTTGTTTTCTGTGATTTTTGTTCGTTAGTTGGTCTGTGTGTTTGTTTGTCTTAGTTTGGATATGAATACAGGCTAGGCATTGTGCAGTGGCTCTGTTATTTATGTTCCTTTATTTTCGGTTGTGGAGTTCTCTAGGCCGCCATGTCCGTGTCCTCTCAGTTTTCTCTTCCTGTTCTTTTATTAGGCGTGTTTTTGGTTTGGGCCGTTGGCCCCTGTCTCATTACCCTGTTGGGGTCTTAGATTACCCCGTTGGGGTCTTTAAATTGAATACACAAAGAAAAAAAAAAGGCACAAATCTTAAGATGATTCAATTTTCCCCATACTTTTCAAAAGTAAAATTTACTCCTACAAAGGGCAAGAAAAGGATCACCGCATCCCTCTACATATGTATACACATAAAGCTCCCAACAGCTAGTGTGCTATGTACCATACCAACATCAGTTGAAATTCAAAGTCCAATTAGAAATTCTGCAAATTCAGATAATGACGATGAATGCACCAAAATTTACTATCCATGCAGCTTTGTTTTCAGCCCTCTTTTTCATGTTCTTCAAACTAAGCAATTGTATCCTCTGCCCCGAAATCGAAAAACAATCACTTTTAAGCTTCAAGCAATCTCTCAACGGTTCCTCAAGCGTGTTGTCTTCTTGGGATGCTAAATTCGATTGTTGCACGTGGAAAGGTGTTGTCTGCATCAACTTAACTGGCCATGTTCTTCAACTCCACCTCCAAGGTAATTATTCTTTAGGTGGGAAAGTAAGCCCTGCTTTGCTCAACTTAAAGCATTTGAAATATCTTGACCTGAGTCAAAACAGCTTTGTCCAAAATATCCCTTCTTTCATTGGATCACTCACAAGCCTTGAGTATTTGAACATATCATTCACTGGATTTTATGGAAAGATTCCTCATAGTATTGGAAATCTTTCGAATTTGCGTACTCTTAGTTTGGAAACTATGGACACTGGAGGAGAAGACTATTCAGGGCCGAAGCTGTATGTGGATAGTCTTGAATGGTTGTCAGGGCTTTCTAAATTAGAGTATCTCAACATGAATCATGTGAACCTGAGCAAAGCAACCAATTGGCCTCAGCAGGTGATCACCAAACTCCCTTCTTTAGTGGAGCTGCATTTTGGTGGATGTAATCTTAATTATATGGCTCCTCTGAATGATGTAAATAATATAAGTCATTTTCATTTAGCCATTCTTGACCTCTCTGAAAATTACTTGGATGGCGAATCTTACGGCATCATCCCTCGGTGGATTTTTCAACTCAGAGAACTTATCTATCTTGATATGAGTTTCAGCTCATTGGAAGGCCCAATTCCAACAATGAGCAATAGCACAAAACTCCAACACATTGATCTCTCCAGTAACAATTTGAATTCAAGCATTCCACAGTGGCTCTACTCCTGCAAACAACTCAAGTATGTCAATCTGAAATACAATATTCTACAAGATGTAATTTCTGATTCCATATCAAATCTGACTTCTCTCAATACCATCGATTTAAGCGGAAATGAAATTTCTGGGAAAATCCCAACAGAAATTGCAAACCTGTGCAATATTCAGACCTTGAGTTTATCTGATAATAAATTAAGAGGAGAGATAACAGATTCATTTGGAAAAAATATGTCAGATTGTTTCTTAAGAGCTTTGATATCTTTGGACTTGTCAGAGAATCAATTCTCCGGCCATCTGCCTCATCAATTTGGAGAATTTAAACGTCTTCATTATCTTGATCTTAGCTACAACTCACTGTCCGGTGTAATTCCAGACGAGTTAGGGAAGTTGCTTTCCCTTGAAAGGTTAGAGTTGAGTAGTAACAAATTGATGGGAAACTTACCAGAGAGTTTGGGGAGACTTGCTAACTTGACAGATCTTTCCATAGAGGATAACATGTTGGAAGGGGTGGTGACTGAAGCCCACTTTGCCAGTCTCTCAAATTTATTTAACTTGGAAGCTTCTAGAAACCACTTGACTTTGAATGTGAATCCCAATTGGATTCCACCATTCAAACTCAATCGTCTTCACCTAGGGTCTTGGGACTTGGGATCATCAGGCTCTCGATTTCCATTATGGCTGGAGACACAGAAAAACGACATTGCGGATCTTGATTTGTCATGTACTGGAATACACGGAAATGTTCCCAGCTGGTTATGGAGTTTGAATTTTCTCAACCTTTCGTATAATCAACTCGACTTCAACATTCCTTTGTTCAGTGATCCACCTTATGAGCACTTTTACTACTTGACTTCAAATAATTTTAGCGGTCCATTACCTCGAATTGGGAAAAATGTGGGTGACCTTGATTTCTCCAATAACTCATTGTCCGGAGATTTGTCAGAATTTCTATGCAACACATCAACCGATAATGAAATGCAAAATCTTAATCTCGGGGAAAACCACTTGTCTGGAGAGTTACCCGACTGTTTCCACAAGTGGCAATCATTGGTAGTGTTGAACTTGGGCAACAATGAATTATTCGGAAGAATACCAGATTCCATAGGATTTCTAACAAATTTAGAGTCCTTGAATTTATACGGCAACAATTTCTCTGGCCACGTACCTTCTTCACTGCAAAACTGCACGGAACTAATTAAGATCGATTTCTCTAATAACAATCTTGGTGGGGAGATACCGAAATGGATTAACACAAGATTTTATCAGCTGATAATTCTCATTTTGCGCTCAAACAATTTCAGTGGAGAAATCACCCCATCCATATGCCAGCTAACATCTCTACAAATCGTGGATCTCTCTCATAATAGGCTTTCCGGGAGAATACCTTCCTGCCTCAACAATCTTACTTCAATGACCACTAAAAGAATTTTGTTTACGCCATATTATTCTACGTGGCAAACAGCATTTTTGGAAAGTGCATCAATTGCCACAAAGGGAAAAGAACTCACCTATGGCCGCTCCACTCTCTTTTTGGTCAAAAGTATCGACCTTTCAAACAACATCCTTTCTGGTGCCATCCCAAGTGAGGTAACAAGTCTGGTGGAACTCAGAACACTGAACTTGTCGAGAAATAATTTAACAGGATCCATACCAGACAACATTGGAAACATGAAGCAACTCGAAACTCTTGATTTCTCAATCAACTCGTTATCCGGCGACATTCCAGGTAGCATCACAAGCATGTCTTTTTTGAATAGCCTGAATTTGTCATATAACGACTTGACTGGAAGAATCCCACAAAGCACCCAGATTCGGGGCTTGAACGAGTCGAGCTTCATTGGCAACAATCTTTGTGGCCCTCCACTAGAAATATCTTGCAAAATTGACAGTAATGCCCCTGGCAGAACGCACATGGAGAATCAAGGGCCAGAAGGCAATAAGGCCGAGATTGATTGGTTTTACGTATTTCTATCTTTAGGATATGCGGTTGGGCTTTTGGCTGTCATCACTACATTGTTTTTAAAGAAAAAATGGAGGGAAACATATTACGCGTTCTTTCGGAAATCGTGGGACAGCGTTTATGTGTGTTGTGTTATCAAACGGAGAAGGCTCATGCTAGTTTTGGGTCGGAATTAATGAAGGCTCTGCCAAGAAAGTATGCATGGAGGTCTCTTATGTTTTAATTTATTTGTCGTATTTTGATATTAGTCTCTTGTACGGGTGCTTTTAAATAATGTGTCTGATTTATTGCGTGTGATAGGTTTTTATTTGTGACTTGTGCTGTAAACATATGTATCTTATGATTATTAGTTTTTATCCTTGTGTGTATGAATTTGGTAACATTATATTCATCTATTTATAGGGAACTTTGTTCTGCAGTCTCCCTTTTCTTATTGTGTGTTCATCACACNTGCGATGCTCGAGTGAGACTGGTCTAAACTCTGGAGAGCTTAAGCTCGGTATCAGCATTTGACCTTGTCTAAGAGCACGCTTAGGCAGCTCAGGGTACAGGTCGACCTGATAAGAAAACCCGGAGGTCGGGCTCGTTTAAGATCTTGAACAGATGAGTGTAACTCATCACCAGAAGGTTGTCGAGGTAGAGGTTGTGGTTACGACCTGGTTACCGCCCTGTGGCAGGTAGGTTGTGAGGTTGCTTGGACGACCTAATTAAGGACCTAAGTACTATATGGTAAGAGGATAAAATTCTTTGAAGATGGAAATTCTATCTCGCTAACGAGTCTCGGATCTTAGTACTTGATAAGCTAGGCTAGGAGATAAGGTTTGATCTCTTTCTCGGTCAGGACTCTACTTAGTCAACAAAATGCCCTAATATATAAATGATGATCATGTCCTATTTTATAATTAATCCATATTTGCGTATAGCAGCTTACATTTTACATATTTTCTTGCGAGCGAGTATTGAATTGAGCATCAGAGGTTTTTTCGTCGGGACCCCTCCCAGGCGTAATTTAAGTTAGCGAAGCTCTAGATAGGAGACAGTTCGCGGTTGTTCCGGTTTAACCCGATCCAATGATAATTTTTGTATTACACTTGACTTACGTAAATTATGAAAATATTTAAAAAGATAATAGTTTTTATTTATTATCACTTTTTCATATATAATATATTAAATTAATCATCTTTTGAAGCATTTATATTTGATATCCATATTTCATACATAAAATAAAAAAATATTCATTTATTATAAATATAAATTATATATTGATACTAATTAAAAATCAATAGAATTATATATCAATTAAAAAGTTCTATAAATTCATTACATATGAATTAAAAAATTATTATAATATAAGACGAGCAAATCATACAAGTAAAAAGTCTTGTATATAATCATATAATTTTTTAAAATATACTTGAATTTTGAATTACAAAATAAAATTCTTTCCAACATTTGTTTGTAAGAATATTATTATAACATTTTTAACTAACACCGTCTAATCACGGGTGTTACGCTAGTAATTTTGTTATTTGGGATGTACAATAAAATAATTGTTTATAATATCGTATTCTAGTAAACTTTATAATATTTTGACGATAAACTCTAAAATGTCACTTTATACATAAATGAAAACAAATGGAAAAATAAAAAATAAATATAAATGTAAAATTATATATATACATATTTTTGTATGATTATATTCATCCTCCATTTAATTTATACTCAGTACTATCCCGTGCGACGATACTAACAAGTTGGAAATACAAGGCTCAACCTACTGAATTTGTTAACGTATAATTAGTTCCTCAGAGGTGTCGAGGCCTGCGTCCTAAATTTTTCATCAACAAAATTCAACGTATGTCAGAGAAATAATGTCTTAGCATATGCATGTCAAAATGATGTGCTTTAAAAATTTAGTGTACTTGTATTTGTCAGCAAAAGATTATTGGTTTAGACTCCGTCAAGGGTCGTCTTAGTGCTCCAACATTTCATTTTCTTTTATTTATCAGATGATGAGATATGTCAATAATTGTTTTCCCTGCCCATTAATTGTTTGATAAAATAACAGCATCTTCTATTGCTTACATTTTACTTGCTTTTAATAAACACAACGTAACTAATATGTCACCAATTTAATATGTATGCATGTATATATATATATAATACATATATATATATATATATACCTCCCAGTTGCCAGTCCTATATGCCATACAAACACTAGTTCAAATTCTAATAAGTCCAATTAAGAATCTGCAAATTAAAGTAACGATGTTGAATGCACCAAAACCTTCTATCCATGCAGCTTTGTTTTCAGCCCTCTTTTTCATGTCCTTCAAACTAAGCAATTGTATCACCTGCCCTGAAATTGAAAAACAATCACTCTTAAGCTTCAAGCAGTCTCTAAATGGCTCCGTAAACTTGTTTTCTTCTTGGGATGTTAAGTTTGACTGTTGCAAGTGGAAAGGTGTTGTTTGCAGCAACTTAACTGGCCGAGTTCTTCAACTCCATCTCCAAGGTAATTCTTTAGGTGGCAAAATAAACTCATCTTTGCTCAACTTGAAGCATTTGGAATATCTTGACCTGAGCCAAAACAAGTTTGAGGGAGAAATCCCTTCTTTCATTGGATCACTCACAAGCCTCGAGTACTTGAATCTATCATTTGCTGGATTTTATGGAAAGATTCCCCACAACATTGGAAATCTTTCAAATTTGCACATTCTAAGTTTGGGGAATTCAGAACTGCTAGATGCTGATAGTCTTGAATGGTTGTCGGGACTTACTAAACTGGAGCACCTCAACATGAATGGTGTGAACCTCAGCAAAGCAACCGACTGGGCACAACAGGTTATCGACAACCTCCCTTCTTTAGTCGAGCTGCAAATGAGTTATTGTAGTCTTAGTTTTCTTTCTCTGAATGATGTTAAAAATAGCAGCCGTTCTAATTTATCCATTCTTGATCTCTCCTCCAACTACAACAGTTTCCAATCTTATGTCATCATCCCACGCTGGATTTTTCAACTCAGCAACCTTATCTATCTTGATTTGGCACACAACTCATTCAATGGCCCAATACCAACTATGACCAATACCACAAAACTCCAACACATTGATCTCACTTCCAATTATTTTAATTCTAGTATTCCACAGTGGCTCTACTCCTGCAAACACCTTGAGTATGTGAGTCTGGCAAACAATTATCTTTTAAGAGATGGAATTTCGAATTCCATAGCAAATCTGACTTCTCTCAATACCCTCGATTTAAATAGAAATGAACTTTCCGGGAGAATACCAAGAGAAATTGCAAACTTGTGCAATATTCAGACCTTGAGTTTATCTGATAATAAGTTGGGAGGAGAGTTAACAGATTCGTTTGGAAAAAATATGTCAGATTGTTTCTTAGAATCTTTGGAATTCTTAGATATGTCAAGCAATCAGCTCTCTGGTCAACTACCTAATCAATTTGGAGAATTTACGCGTCTTTGGTTACTCGGTCTTAGCAAAAACTCATTGTCTGGTGTAATTCCAAATGAAATAGGGAACTTGATTTCCCTTGTAAGGTTAGACTTGGGTAGTAATAAATTGATGGGGAACTTACCAGAGAGTATAGGGAAACTTGTGAACTTGACAACTCTTTTTATAGAAGATAACATGTTTGAAGGGGTTGTGACTGAAGCCCACTTTGCCAATCTTTCGAATTTAGACACCTTGGATGCCTCTGGAAACCAGTTGACTTTGAAAGTCAACCCAAATTGGATTCCACCATTTAAAATGTGGAAGCTTTACCTAAGGTCTTGGGACTTGGGATCAGGCTCTCGAATTCCGTTATGGCTTGAGACACAGAAAGAAAGTATCTCCTATCTTGATTTATCATATACTGGAATCTATGGAAACATTCCCACTTGGTTATGGAGTTTGTATTCTCTCAACATTTCGCATAACCAAATCGATGGCAAGATTCCAATCATCATCAGGTGTTCTTTTCTAGACTTGAGTTCCAACAAGTTTAGTGGTCCATTGCCTCGAATAGGGAAAAGAGCGACTGAACTAAATTTCTCCAATAACTCATTCTCGGGAGATTTGTCAGAGTTTCTCTGTAACACAACAGCCAATGAACTGCGAAGTCTTAATCTCGAGGGAAACCACCTGTCTGGAGAGTTACCTGATTGTTTCATGAAAAGGCAAAGGTTGATACTTTTGAACTTAGGCAACAATAAATTGTCTGGAAAAATACCGAATTCCATAGGATTTGTTAAAAGTTTAGAGGCCTTGACTCTACGCAGCAACTTCTTCTCTGGCCAATTACCTTCTTCATTGCAGAACTGCACAGAACTAGTGAAGATCGACTTTGCTGATAACAATCTTGATGGGGAAATACCGAAATGGATTGACACAGGATTTTTCAATTTGAGATATCTCATTTTGCGGTCAAACAATTTCAGCGGTGAAATTACTCCATCCATATGTCAACTAACTTCTCTTCAAATCTTGGATCTCTCGAGTAACAGACTTTCAGGGAGAATGCCTAGCTGTCTAAAAAATCTCACCGCATTGAGTACAGAAGGAATTTGGTATGGGCCATATCGTTCTAGTTATACTGAAACATTTGAAGAAAGGGCAACAATTGTCACAAAGGGAAGAGAACTCACTTATGACACCACTCTCTCTCTGGTTACAAGTATTGACCTTTCTATGAACAATTTGTCTGGTGATATCCCAAGCGAGATAACAAGTCTTGTGCAACTCATATCACTGAACTTGTCACGAAATAATTTAACAGGATCCATTCCAGACAACATTGGAAGCATGAAGCAGCTCGAATCTCTTGATTTCTCAATGAACTCGTTATCGGGCAACATTCCAGGTAGCATCACAACCATGTCTTTTTTGAATAGCCTGAATTTGTCATATAACCACTTGACTGGACGAATCCCAGAAAGCACACAGATTCGAGGCTTGAACGAGTCGAGTTTCATAAGCAACAATCTCTGTGGCCCTCCACTTAGAATATCCTGTGGAAATGGAGATAATGCACTTGGTCCAGTGCATACGGAAAATCAAGGCCGAGAAGGCAACAAGCGACAGATTGATTGGTTTTACGTATTTCTATCTTTAGGATATGCCGTGGGGCTCTCAATTGTCCTTACGATATTGTATTATAAGAGAAAATGGAGAGAAGCATATTACGAGTTCTTTCAGAATCTGTGGGAATGCGTTTACGTGTATTCCATTATCAAATGGAGAAGGCTAACAAGAGTGTTGGGGCGAAATATGTAAAGGCTCTAATGACAGAGTTTGCATGCACCTCTCCTCAAAAAAAATGTTTACACTTCAATTTTTTGCGGTATTATGATGTTTGTCTCTAGTATGGCTGTTTTGAAGATTGGATGTATCATAACTTTCAGTTTCTTTTGTGATGTGTGTTGTAAGATTCTGTATCCTATGATTATTACCATTTTTATCATAGCTCCTACTGGCATGTCTCTCTACATATATTAAAATCTCTTCCAATGCATGATGTAGATGAACATAATATTGTAAACTTGGTCAAATTTCTTCTAACATATATTACTAAATATAACTTTTTTTTTTAATTCAAGTAGTATTTATATATCAAACATAACTTTTTTTTAGATGTAATTTCATTTAATTGATAATTTATCATAAAATTTATTGACTAAATACTTATTAAGTTGATATATTAATTTACATAAATTCGTGTATGAAACGGAATAGTCATTAGGCGGATCAATCCGTCATATTTTTTTTAATAAAAATATATATGTATGCAATAAAATATCATATTTTTGTTTATGTTTTCTAAAGTATGACAATTCAACTGGAGTGTAGTATACCTATTGAAAATGTGTTAGTGTTTAATCGTTGGCTCTCCCTAACAACAATTTTACTTATATGTTTAATAGTTTTTATTATATTGTATTTTATTAAAAATAAGAAAAATTATTAAAAAATAGAAACGTACATGTTGAGGTATCTATAGTAATTTTGTTCACTTATTTTTACATTATTACACAACTTTTATTAATTTCACACAAACCATATCTTTTGGTTAAAAATCTATTTATTTTTATATTATAATTAGTTTTTTATTGTATATAATTGGTCTATTATTTAATATTATTTTCTTATAATTGATTTAAGTATAAAAATAACATCACACCTATTGTATTAATAATTTTTTTAATAAATAAATAAGTAGAAAATTTTAAATCAATAATAACTTTTTTTATCAAATTTTTGAAGTTTTAGAAATTATATACTCTTTTTTTGGTTAAAAAAAACTCTTAAAACATATGTCTAAGTCAAAATGTGAATTATTTTTTACACCAACTACAAAAAAAGAAAGAGAACAAAAATAACTAAGTTTGAAGAATAAAAATATTTGTCGAATACAAAATTGCTCTTTTTTTTTTCAGAAACGGCAGAATTCATTCACTAAACACATAATTACAATAGGCCCACTAGCCAGAATAGGAGGACTACCCAAGGCAGCCTAGATACCACAACACACACAACAATACGAACAAGAAAAAACAAAAGCTCCCCACAGGAGAATACACAAATTCTCTACATGAAAATAACACAAACTCCCAAGAGGAGAAAAACACGCTCCTCAAAAAAATGAGAAAACAAAACACAAGCCATATAACAACACACCAACAAACACCACACAAACATAAAACCAAACAAACATACACAAAACTACTAAACTAAAGCCTTCCTCTACAACTGACATGCAACACCGCAATTCGCCACGCCACTAGCCATCCAGAGCCGTCACCTCACAGACTAAGACCCGGTTCAGAGCACCGAGCCTGAAACTGCAGCAAAGGCCTAACAATGCCCATCCCCCCAAACCCGCAGTCTCAAGATGCAGACCACTCATAGTCCAGCACACCAAAGCCAGCCCCAACACTTTCCGCCCCACTCCTACCGATGGACAAGATCTGACAACCCCAGAGCCACCAACCAACATCCCCAACGGAGCCATCGCCCAACCCCAGGAGCGACGGATAGCCAGGGGTGTCGAGCATCAAACTCCAAACACGAACCCATCGCCACCACCAACAAATTTGGCCAACCCCCGGACCTGAAAACCTCTACCCGCAGGAGCCTTACCCCAACACCAGGGAGATGGAAAAGCAAGAAAAGAAAAAGAACTAACCTCAGCCCAGACCACCGGCCGATGCCAAGCCGGAGAGGGCCCCTCCACCCCCCTCCACCCCAGCCCAACCAAGACCTCGACGTCACCACCCCAGACCGAGCGACAACCAAGGAGATGGCGAAAACCACCATGGTTGTGCCTCGAAGCGATGGCCGACTGGGAGGAAACACTAGTCGGCGATGATGGAAGCGCGGGGGTGCGTCACGCCCGCTAAAGAGGAGGCAACGATCAGATCTGTATTTTTGCTGGGAAAGGGGGACGGCTTTTTTGGAGAGAGAGAAGTAAGAGCATGTTTATTTATAAAAAAAATTTGGTTTGGTTTGGTTAATTTTGAAAAATGTGGTATGGTTAGTTGTTAGTGGGTATATTAAAATAATATTTATAATAAAATAATTAAATTTAATTTGATGTAAAAGTACGAGAGAGAGATTTGAAGTGATGGTTAGTTAAAATAATGTGAGTGGATGAATAGTGAATTAAGGTTGATATGGTGTGTATGAATGATCGATTAATATTATTTAATTATATTGATAATTTTGATGATAGTGGGGTTGAGTTAATGTTTAGTTAAAAAAATGGTTGAGTTTTGGAAATTTTTTGAAAAATTCTTATAAACAAAATGATCTTTAATAACATAGATTCAAATAGAAACGATAGTTTTCTTTTCCAAAATCAACAAATGAAGAAAAATTTAACTATGCAATAACTATCATATAATATAATGTTATTTTCTATTAATTTTATCAAGCATGTAAAAGAAAATGCTAATAGTTAATCCAGGCCATCGTTCATATACTTGACTAAAAACTAAATTGATTGTTACAATCTCCATTCATAAAACAAAGTTGTTTTAGGATAGATTTTTAATATTAGTTACTTGTTATTTTATACTATTTTCACATTATATACATATAAATACACTTAAAGTATGGCTAAATACTTTTACCAATTTTTAATATATTTTCTCTAAGAATATTAATTTATTCACAGTATAGCTTCCTAATGTTAATTTATATTTTACATTTATGATATTAAATATCATGTTTAGTATGATATATTTTTGTAATTAAAAAATGTTCAAGAAATAACTTTTAATATGAATATAAATTATAAATGATGCCAAGAAAATTATATAGATAACTGAAAGTCCATGTTTTTCAAATAGCGCAACATATAATTATCTAAATTATTTGGTATTTACATTAATGCTTATATTTATACAATCGTCAAAAGATGTCAAAAAATTTTTTTGAGTGAATTCTTACACTTTTATGTGTATTAGTTGCATACTTGCATACCATGTATATATAACTGATACAATATATTAATTAACTTTATGAGTTTGAAAGAATTATACTAACATATATACAAGGTTTTTAAAATCGAGATTCTAAGTAGAATCGTTTTGGGTGCAGAATCGAAATCGTAGAATCGGAATCGTAGAATCGTAAGACTCAACTCAAAACATCTAAAATTAATTATTTTAACAAGTTTTATGGTAATCATCAAGAATATGTATCAAAATGCTAAAAAAAAAACCATCACTTGTTTTTCAAAATATAAATGTTCAAATTTTAACACTCTGTGCGTTCAAACTTCAAAGTTAACACTTACAAATACATAGACACGACCATTCAAACGTCACATATAGTCCAAACTCCAAAGTCAGAACCAAAGTCACGGCCATCAAGGCGTCAACCAAAATTCAATCTTCCTAATTCCAAAACTGTGATTCTGTGAACTTCCCCTGTTCCAACAATGATAAAAAAAATTGCAGAGAGAAACAGCCGAAGTGCCCAAACGCAGCCCAATTTTAAAATCTGGTTCATTTTTTGAGCTTTGCACAGAATCGGTCAAAGTCGTAGAATCGGTCCGATTCTACGATTTTGACCGATTCTACCGATTCTGCAACGACTCTACATTCCTTTGCGATTTTGAGCGACTTAGAATCGATTTTGTGACTTTGAGTTGTAGAATCGGCGATTCGCCAATTCTACGACTCAAAGTCGCGATTTTGATAACCTTGTATATATATATATGTGTGTGTGTGTGTAAATATTCCAATCAATAATATACAACATTAAAAGGATTAAGTAACATGTAATTAGAATAAAAATGTTGATATCGTATAACCTTACAAATTTTAAAAATAATAAACTAATTATTAGTTTGTCAGAATTCTTTATTGAAAAACTCAAAATATTTAAAATTTAAAACAATTATATACAAATTAATCAAATATAAATATTATATATCACAACAAATAAATTAATCTATAAAAAATTGTCATTATAATTATTATTATTAAATAAAATTGTATTATTTTTATATTACATACTCGTTTATTATTAAAGTAATAATGTATTTATTTTATAAGGATTAAAATAAAAGTAAAAAATAATTTATGATATTGATAAATTAAGAAATAATTTATATACAAGAATTATAAAATGTAAGTTAATTATGTATTATTTTATTTTTACATTGATGATGACCTTAAATATTGTGCTTAGTATGAATATTTTGGCAATTCAAAATATTCAAGAAATAACTTCTTATTCTGAAAATAAATTATAAATAATGTCACGAAAATTATATATAAAATGAAAGTCTATGTTTTTCAAATAGCACAATATATAATTCTCTAATTTATATAGTACTTAAATAACTTACATCTTGCACAATTGTCAAAAGATGTCAAGAAAAATTTATGAGTGAATCCTTACTCTTTCATGTATGTTAGTTTCATACTTTCATACCCTATATACCTCGATAAAATATATTAATTAAATTTAAATCATGTCGTTTGGATTTGAAAGAATTATCTAATTAACATACATGAAAGAATTATACTAACATACATGTGTGTGTTTGTGTGTGTATATATATATATGTGTGTGTGTGAATATTCCAATCAATAATATATAACATTAAAAGGGTTAAGTAACATGTATTTTAAAATCAAATTTTTGATACCATATATCCTGACAATTTTTTAACAAAAAAATTAATAAACTACCTATCAATTTGATAGATTTCATTATTGAAAATCTTTAAATTTTAAAACTTTTAAACAATTATACAAATTAATCAAATAAAAATATCATATATATATAAAAAATTAAACTAATATATTATAATGGTTATTATTATTATTATTATTATTATTATTATTATTATTATTATTGTTGTTGTTGTTGTTGTTATTGTTATTATTATTATCATTATTATTAAACCGATCACAATTATCCAAACCGAACCGAAAACTGAAATTTTAGGAAAATGTAAACCGAAAACCGAACCAAATAATCGGTTTCAATCCAAATCGTATTTTTGGTTTCGGTGGGTTCGGCTCGGTTAACCGAACTTGGTGCACCCCTAGTCATTAGATAAGACGAGATAAAATGAATAACTTGTGACGTGCATTCAAGTCCTAAGGTTAATCGAGTTGTTCATGAATAAATGGGTCATCACTATTGACTTTTATACTAAAGGTTTGTTTGCTTCATCCATATGAACGTACTTTATATTCTGAGTTTGTCTTGTGATGTAGTTTAGGAGTTTTGTAAGAATTATAAGTTAGATTTTTGTCATTATATGAAGACTATAGGGTCGCACAATTTGCAATAAGTTTTTTAGACTGATAGTGAATCAAGAGTGTTAAATATACAGTTAGATTGAATATTTAAATATGAATAATGAGATTATTTTTTATTTAACAGAAAATATATTATTATATTAAATTAAATCTATACTTAATTGAATTATTAACTGATGAAGGTCCATTTACAATATTGGGCCACAGGATCCCATATAACTCATAGAAGAAATTACCTCCCCCACTACACAATAACATTTTTATTATATATTTACTGACCATATATATTTATTTACAAATTAACTAAAACTATCATCATATTTATTTCCAAACATACTAGATAATTGAGCAGCAGATAAATATGGTAAAAGCAGATTTAAGGGAATTTTAATTATCACGACGTTTTCTCTCTCTTTCCCTTCTCTATTTTTCTTCTTCCTCTTGCTCTTTCTCTCTCTCTCTCATCATCATCTTTTTCTTCTACAATCCGCCGTTGTTCCTCCTCCCCACTGTTCCTCCCTTTTAAAATTTGTTTAGGTAAAGAGAGAGGCGTGTAGAATCAGAGACAGATCTATTATGTAGGAGAGGAGAGGGGTCAGGGGTTTTGTTGACGACGGCGAGATGGTGACGTTGACGAGATTTTGTGCCGGAATCATAGTTGATCCACGCCACAATCGGCTTGCCAGAGTTGAGATTGAGATCTATCTTCGAACCCCCGGCGAAGTACAGTTGATTTCCTTTGATTTGTTGTTTGTAGATTCAACTCTTCATTGACCAACTACATACTCTGTTGTGTAACTGAAACATGTCTGAATTTCAGTGAATAGAATGTTGGGATTTGTGAGGATCTCGTTATGTACAAATCACGAATTCAATAGCAAACGTAAACCTATGCGCAGCGGATCTAAAGGTTTGACGTAGAGAACTTACGGCTTAAAATTTATGTAGATCTGGTTGACCACGAACGGTTGACCGCAATTGATTGACCGCAAATCACGTCTTGGGTTGCGCGAACAAGATCAGATCAAAACTGGATCAAACGGATGCAAACAGATCAAAACGAAATTTTGTTGCCTGGCACCTTCCGGCGGCGCGTGGGGGCGCGTGCGGCGTCAGATTCCAGCGACGTCGGCGGCGATGGAAAGCTCTCGTCGAGACGGTCGTCTGGGTTTACTGTACGTCTCAATCGGACTTCCGGTTAGTTCTGTAGGTCAAAATATATTTCGTCTCGTTTTACCTACAGATCTTCTACTGTATTACTCAATACACCCTTCTTCAACTTGTACCAGTGGAGCAACAAGAAGAAGATAAAGCTCGAATGAGATCTAGAGAGAGAGAGGCGTGTATCTCGTGTGAATGAGACTTCTATTCTCTTCTCATGAGCTTAATGATGTATATATAGAGCTACAGTAGGGATCCTAAGGAGATTAGGAAAAGGGCTCCTTAATTAATTAGACTAACTGTGGGCCAAAACCACTCCTCTAATTAATTAAATAATATTAATGAACCACCAACATTATATTATTGCACTCCCTTTCCCTAGCCCAAATTACATTTGAGACTCCAATAATAATTACTCGATTTACCTCCCCACGTTTAAGATATAATGTCCATTAATTAATTCGATTACTGACAATCAAGAATTAATTAATTTATTATTATTTCACCGAAGCTAGCGCTCGTTCATCACATTCTTATTATGCCGGAATTTAATCCACCTGCAGGGTTTAGCATAACAATCCTTCATGAACTCACTCCGGGGACATCATCAAACTAACGCACATGGTGACCGTAAATATCCTAACAGCACATCCTATATATAATAATATTACCCAAAACAGTAGGAATATTAATCCAGCGAACTGAACTTCACCCATGTGAATCAAAGTAATATATATTATATATATCTGCCTGTTTAATATCTTACGGGTTAAGAGAACGCAGTAATTAACCGAGGCCTAGTTCATTTACGACGATCAGTATAAAATGAACTTCTCCTCTCTGGGATCCTTTCAATACATAAATGTACTAGTGCAACTAATCAGTCAAGACAAACTGTACAGTTGACACTACAACCGTTCGGATGGGGTGTTCATGTCCATCTAGGTTGTGAACAACTATTCTTGTTCGCAAGTAACTGATAGAGTGATCTTCGGTTCACCCGATGACGACCCACACTATCTAAGTGCAGAACAACAGAACGTAGAACTTGTTTAATCTAACATGATTCTCATTCATAAAGGGTAAATGTGTAATATCATGCAAAGCCAAGCTTTTAGTATATAACACTAACATATAATACATGTTATTTTTCAGGGCATTTTTATTTGTAGTATTTTTTTTTACATTTATGAATATTTTTATTTCATTTTTCCCTTTCCTGCACGTGAATTTGGAGTTTGTACATTATCAATTATGTGTTCTCCGTGGAATGAAATACTATTTTTAGATTCATCTCCTATGTTATGAATAGTGGAATGAATGTTGCGTTGTTTTCCATAAGCGCGCATCATGCTTTTTTTTTTTTGGTCATTTTAATTTGCATGAATTCATTGTCTATCATGAATTCATCTCCTATGCTTTTCTTGTTTTTTCGTGGTTCAACTTGATGAGGACAGTGTCTAATTCGACGCCGAACACTTGGTTGGAGGCATTGCTGACAGTGGTGGAGTTGAAGAGACCGACGTACTAGCTGGGCTGGGCGGAGGGGAAGTCGCAAGATGGAGAAATATAATGAAAATATACTGAATATTAGTTATTGTATATCTAGTTTATGTTTGGTATATTAGTTTATGTACAAATTAGTTTGTGAATGGATGCTTTTTTTTTCTGTTTTCAATGTTTATTCATAGTTTATGTTTGGTATATTAGAAGATTTTTTTTTTTGTTGAAAACGAAATTGATAAATGAGCAATTTGTTGTTTTGGTATATGAACAATATATGTAAATCTTAGTTATCTACTGTTATTGTCTTAGTCATGTACAGTTTGTGAATGGATGTTTGTTTTTTCTGTTTTCAATATTTTATTCATAGTTTATGTTGGGTATATTAAAAAAAAAAATTGTTAGAATATGAATTTGACAAAGCATAACCTGATTTTTTTTTTATTTTATTTTTTGTAGTATATGTATAGTTTATATTCAGTATATTTTCAGTATATGATAAAATCAATTTATATTTAGCATAAATTGATTGCAACATATACTGAATATATACTAACATAAACGCAATATATATCACCTGACAACGGCATGAATTAAGGAATTCCAATTGTACACATATACTGAATATATACTAACATATAACGCAATATATACCACTTGACAACTGCGTGAATTAAGGAATTCCAGTTGCGCACATATACTGAATATATACTAACATATACGCAATATATACCACCTGACAGGTGCGTGAATTAAAGAACTCTAATTGCGTGAATTAAGGAATTAAATGAGTAAATGATTTATTTTCATTTCTCTCTCTTATGAGTCAACGGTTTTTTGTATGGTAACTGAAATCAAGTAAATCTCCAATTAATTCAATAGTTTTAGGTACATATGCAATTAAACTTATACTAGCTGCAAAATCGTAAATAAATCTAAATCATGTAGGATAGATGAAAATTTCCCTAACTCATATAATTGTGTTTGACCTAGTTATAAATCTCATTATCTCTTCCTAGTTTTTGATCGAAAAAATTGTGAGATCTAGAAATCAAAATTGCGAGATGAGATCGAACACAAACACTTTCCAACTTTGTTGAATCGAGGATTTCTATCTTCTTTATGAGGTCCATTTTATTGGCATTGGATCGTGTATTAGAGAAGTAGATTGTGTGATACCATAATCGAAGATAAAACTTACGAATAATGGTAGATTTTGTGAAGAAAAATTTCCAATTTCGTTATCCGTGCAATGGGGAAGAAAAATTTCCAATTTCGTTATCCGTGCAATGGGCTCTCATGTCTAGGGCTGCAAACGAGTCGAGCAGCTTGCGAGTCGCTCGCGAGCGCTCGAGTCAAAGCTCGACTCGAGCTCGAGTTTGACCGAACTCGAGCTCGAGTTTGACCGAACTCGAGTCGAGCTCGATCCCATATTTTACATTATCGAGCGGCTACCTCTTGTATTTTTTTATCGAGTCGAGCTCGAGCCTAAAAAATTGAGCTCGACGAGTTCGAGCTCGAGCTCAAGCAACTAAAAAAAAATAAATTCAATCCTGCTCGATAAGGTTAATGCTCGGCTCGTTTGCAGCCCTACTCACGTCTAAATTCCAACACAAACCACACTGTAAACATAAAAATCAAACCAAATCTCAATACAAAAAAAGTTGAATTGCACCAACTTGTACGTATCACTTCGACTCAGTTTTGCTCAGCATTGCTTGTAGCCAATAGAAAGCGGTGCTACAAAACACGATTTAAGCAGGTCCATACCAAGGTCCTCCTCCCTCGAGCGTGTAACCTTCGCTGCCCTTTCTCCAATTCCACCCTCTCCACCAAATCAACCAACAGAAATCCCCAAAAAAATCAAAATCCCGATTGAAGCTTATTCGAAGACCCCCCAAATTTCCTTTCCCAAACAAATTCTCATCGATCTATTTTGCACGGCTCCTTGTCAATCGAGAAAAAAAAATCTTTTGCCATATACGAAATTTGTACAGAATAAATTTATGATCGGATGCGATGTATAGCAATTTCAAAGAACAAGCGATCGAGTATGTACGGCAGGCCGTGGCGGAGGATAATGCCGGGAACTACGCCAAGGCCTTCCCTCTGTACATGAACGCCCTCGAGTATTTCAAAACCCACCTCAAGTACGAGAAGAACCCCAAGATCAAGGAGGCCATCACGCAAAAGTTCACAGAGTACTTGAGGCGGGCCGAGGAGATCCGGGCCGTGCTCGACGAGGGCGGGTCGGGCCCCACATCGAATGGGGACGCGGCTGTGGCGACCCGGCCCAAGACTAAGCCCAAGGACGGCAATGATGGGGAGGATGGGGATAAGGAGAAGCTGCGGTCGGGGCTGAATTCAGCTATTGTTAGGGAGAAGCCTAATGTTAAGTGGAACGATGTTGCGGGCTTGGAGAGTGCCAAGCAGGCGCTTCAGGAAGCTGTGATTTTGCCCGTGAAGTTCCCCCAGTTTTTTACTGGTATGATTTCTGTTTAACACCTTCTTCTGTATGGTTTTCCTCTAGTTAGTGGATCTGACTTTTGAGTTGGTGTGTATAGAGCGTATGTATAAGATATTAATGTTATTGATTGAAGTTGTTGAATCAGGTGAGTTTGTTAGATTGTTGGGCTGTTTGGGTATTTTGAAGTATTCTTATGATGCAAATTGTTCAGGATGGTTACATTACATGTGGTGGTCTGTATGCGCTATTTTCTTAATTGAGTTGTTTCCATATAACTTGATAGTTTTGGTTGTCCTAGAAATTTTGGTGGAGGTTAGGTATTACCTGAGGCAGCTCGTTTTGTTCTGGAGAGTAGACATGGTGGTTGTATAGTAGTACATTAGAATTTTCTTTAGGCTTTAGGCAATTGTATGATGAGAAGGGTTCGAGATTAAATAGATAAAAAGATGGATATTTTGTGTTTCTACTGCTTTCTTTATGTTTGTCTGAGGTCTATGTCTTGTCAACTGCAAGTTTATGCTTTACCTCAGATTCTAGTTTTACTCCAGAGCCTCTATGGGCTTTTGCTTCAACACTATAAGTTTACACAAGTGACAAGTTCATATGAAGTTGGCTCCATTCTCTCTCAAATGGGCAATTATCCCTCTTACATTATCATTGTCCAAGACAAGAAAAACAGAGGCATCTAAAAGAAGGAAGAAGAAGTATAATATAGCTCATGTTGGAAAAAAAATGTTAAGTTTCCTAGTAGATATTATAATTTTCTGGAAAGCATATAGCCTCTCTCTCTCTCTCTCTCTCTCTCTATATATATATATATATATATATATATATATATATTTGTAATGTGGGTTTTTGTATATCATTTGGCTTTTCTTATAGGCAAGAGGCGCCCGTGGAGGGCTTTTCTTTTATATGGTCCTCCTGGTACTGGAAAATCATACTTAGCCAAGGCAGTTGCCACTGAAGCCGACTCGACATTCTTCAGGTAAATTATCCATCGAATATTTCATCCACATTCCACATGAGTACACGCGTGCCTCTTTTTTCGACTTTGGGTCTCCTATTGTTTTCCTGACTTTCTTTCTTTTCCCGGGGATGTGGGGGAGGTGAATTCAAAGGTTCCTGGGGCAAAGATTCCAAATCTTATTTTATTTTCCTTGCGTATGGTTTTTTTTGGAATAAATGCGGTCAGTTTAAATGTTTCTCCAAAAATCAATGTAAGGATTCACGGTTTAGTTGTTTCGAAAAGTCGGGTGATGCTTTCAACCCTGATGTCATGTAACATAGGGGTAGAGTGAAGGGTGAAAGCAAATGAAAAGAATAGATAATCAATATTATTAATTAAGAAAACAACTTAAAAAAACTCGGGACAAATCCCGCCTAGCCTAAGGCTGATACCTTCGGAAGAAACTTCCCGCCCAAGCTTAAAACCGACAATCCTATTCGACAAAAGATATCCGAGGTATCAAATGTTAGTTTATTTAAATAGAGTCCTAATCCTAGTTATAACTCTAAATGGTTATTAATAAGCAAATGGACTCAATAGCCCAATTATTGAAATAAATGAAATAACAATCGATTTTTGACAATTCTCCTGCCGTTTTGAACAGCCTTGTGCCAACAAACGATCCATAGGTGTCGCTTATGATATAATACCCTAATGTATTGTGTCTACGTGTTCCTCCAGCGGCTCCATTCGTGTATCTAGTGATGCTATCCGATTTTGAATCCGGCAAGTCGGACCAATTGATAGATTGAACATTGAAGGGTTAAAGATAACAAAAATAATACATAATCGATAATCTTAATTAAGAAAATAACTTGGAAACAACTCGGGACAAATACGCCCAGCCTAAGGCCGATACTTTGAGAAGAAACTTCCCGCCCGAGCTTAAAGCCGACAATCCTATCGACAAAAGATATCCTAGGTATCGAATGTTAGTCTACTTAGACTAATAACCCTAATTATAACTCTAATGGATATTCTGAGTAAATGGGCAAAAGCCTAATTGTTGAAATTAATGAAATAACAATCGATCTCTACCACATAGTAATTTAATTCTGTAAACATGTGCATATGTATTTAGTTAATGTGATTGGCTAAATTAATTGTACATCCATATTGTATCCATTTGCTATTTTTCATTCCTCATTCTTAGTGATCAAGTACTTAGGATGTAAAGTGGGAAGTACCGGTTCTTTTTCAGTGTTTCTTCTTCAGATTTGGTTTCGAAGTGGATGGGTGAAAGTGAAAAGTTGGTCTCAAATCTCTTTCAAATGGCTCGTGAGAGTTCCCCGGCCATCATATTTATTGATGAAATAGATTCCTTGTGTGGTCAGCGTGGGGAAGGGAACGAGAGCGAAGCTTCGAGACGGATCAAAACAGAATTGCTGGTCCAGATGCAGGTAATATATTAGAAGTGATTGATAGTGGGTTCATGTCTTGGTTATCTTTCCTTAACTTCAAGTTGGATAATATTTTTAGTAGGTGTGGCTCTTTGAAGCCATTTTTTGTTATGAATTTAGGATGCTGCAGATACATTGAATTGTATTAAATGCTACTATGCATAATGATTGGTTCATTCTCTATTTTCCTTTTTTTTAATCTTCTGGATGAATATATGAAAGTTGTTTAAATCCTAGTCACGTGCATCTCTTGATTAATTATAATTTTTACATTCGAACACCATTGCCCATAAATTTCTTCTTTCTGGGAAAAACCGAACCATTTACCATTTCCATTGTTTGTTAATAAACCATAGGGTGTGGGACACAATGATGACAAAGTTCTCGTTCTTGCTGCAACAAATACTCCCTATGCTCTTGATCAGGTAACTTCTAATCCCAGATTGGCTGAGTTCCAAATACACGCATATATATGGCTTGTACTTATATTTCTGTTCCCCTCTCCCCAACAGGCCATCCGACGACGTTTTGATAAGCGCATTTACATCCCACTTCCTGATCAGAAAGCAAGACAACACATGTTTAAAGTATGTAGCCTTTTTTCTAGCTTCTTATGCATGGAGAATGTATCAAATTAGTTATTCAGGGCCATGTAATCTCATTTGGTCTGTTGAATTTATGCAGGTGCATTTAGGAGATACCCCTCACAACTTGAATGAAAGTGACTTTGAAGCCCTAGCACGTAAAACAGAAGGTTTTTCTGGTTCAGATATTTCTGTTTGTGTAAGTGTGAATTATTTATGTATTTGATAACATTTTATTTTAACATAACCCAATGATGTTCTATTTTTTTCCTTTTCATTGACTTTAATAGGTCAAGGATGTCTTATTTGAACCTGTACGTAAAACACAAGACGCCATGTTTTTCACCAAGACTTCTAATGGTTTGTGGATGCCATGTGGGCCTAAGCAACCGGGTGCAGTCCAGATAACTATGCAGGAGCTTGCTTCACAAGGACTTGCTGCAAAGGTAATAAATTTTCTGATTGTAGTTTGTCTAACTTAACAAAATCTGAACATGTTCTGTCTTGTCCTTGTGTGCTTTCTTGTTTCGTGATTACTTGGATTTTCCATGATATGCAGTTATAAATCTTTCTCCTTGAGTTTCCTTCATATTTGTGCATGAAGTAAACATTTAGATGATGTTCAATAATTTATTTATCAAGATTACCTACAGTCAAATAAATGTACTGAAATGCATACTGGTGGGTAATATACGACCTAAAGAGAAAGATTATTATACTATTTGCTAAGTAACTTGCAGTATATATATATACCTTTGTGAATTATGTGTCCTGTCGAGCAATATTAGTGAGAATGATAGATTTAGCCAGAGATGATTGAACATTTTGAATTAATAACAATAGCCTAGGGTTAAGGCTGACAAATTGATGTACTTATGTTTTGTGGAACATGATGGTTAGATTTAGTTAATCTTACTGTATAAAAAATATTATATTAAATTGATAGAAAGTATTGCTTAAAGATGTGCAGAAAAAACACAAAACAAGGGTATTTGTCACATCTCAAGTGGGGATATTTGATGGATGAAGAGAAAAAATTTATTTAAGTAGTTTTTGCTTTCTTTAACTAATAGTTACTTACCCTACTAATCATGATGTAATAAGAACAATGAGTATTATGTCGTTGGCATGTGACCTAAATACATAATCAACGAGTGCAAACTTGTGTTATTTGATTATTGATCACGATTAATTCGTGTGCAGATAATCCCACCTCCCATATCAAGAACGGACTTTGATAAGGTGCTCGCAAGACAGAGGCCAACAGTGAGCAAATCTGATCTCGACGTGCACGAGAGGTTCACAAAGGAATTTGGCGAGGAAGGTTAAAGAAAACACTACAAATGATGAGATACATATTCACGTGTTCTTGCCATTTGCTTTGCTTGTTGTGTTTTTATTGGCGGACCCCTTATTAATGTGAAGATGACACAACCCTCTTGCCTTTTCCTCAAGTACTGGGCAGGAAATGAGCCTAAACTTGTTGGGTGTGCTTGTATTTATCGATGTGTTGACACATTGGACCGTGTTTTTATTGAACATTGTTGATATGGTTTGTATGCACTTGGCACAATTCTAGTTGCAATATGGAATTGTATCAATAAGTTAATCTCTTGTTCTGTGGGAATTTCTTGAGTGACAAATGCATTCTCAGTGTGAGTGTTATGCTCTGGAATTTATTATGTTTCAAAAGTTCATGAGTGTTTATAGTGTTACAAGTGGCTAAAAGGAGGTATAAATTGTGTCTAGGGTTTGGGTGGAAGAGAAGTTGGGATCAAAAGTTCATGATTAATGAGGACGCTTCAACCCCTGTAAATATTTACGATATTATTCTCTCAGAGCATTATTTAAAGTTTATTTGGTTAAATTTTTGTTGCCACATAGAATTTTGGCAAAAGAGTACTAAAGTTTAGATAATTAAACATGTAATACAATGGAATAGGTCTCGAGTTCATTTTGAGGACACGGGTTTAGATCCAATGTTTGTATGTAAAATTATTGCTNTTGATAAAATATCTTACTGATATTTGGTTACACGGCCTTGTAAATCCAACTTTTAAATATTGCATTAGAATGAGTATGCTATATTTTTTATTTGTTTCCCACAAAAAAACTCAAGTTAGTATTCAGGCAACTAAGCAAAATTTTCATATTCAACCTATTTATAATTTCATAATGCGTGGAGCCTTAATGGCATACTCTCATACTTCGGAATCTTATGCGGTAAAAAATCATGCTTCGGAGTCAAACTTGGATATAAATTAATATTTTTTATACAAAAATAAGGAGGTTTGGATTTCTTTAATATCTATATTATTCAATTAACTATTTATTATTTTCTTCTACGATTAATTACCATAAACTATTTTAAATTTCCTATTCCTACATTACCATATATTACTTTCATTTTCTTATTTAATTTTTACATCAATTATTATAAATGTTAATTCTTCTTATTTTTAAAATTTTATAACTTTTTTGGTTTGCATTTTATTTTTCATGTATGATATATCAAATTATTTATCTTTTAATAATCTTCTATTTGACCTCGATAATATATATACACACACACACACACATATATATATATATATATATATAACAAAAAACAATGATATATAGCCTTATAAATAAAATCTAAAATTATTTATCAAACTAAATTAAAGTATATCAAATAAAATTACATTTTATCTTATAAAGCAATCGAAATTTATTTTATAAGTACGAACATCAAATTAGTATAAAACATATTCTAAAAGTTTAAGTCTGGACTTAAATAAATACTACATAGAAATTGAACATTATGATCGTGAAAAAAAGATTAAATAAACATTATAATTAAAATTATAAAAATAGTTATTTAATTTGAAAGTTTAAAATATTACACTATTACACATTATATTTTAAATTGTTAAATATTATAGAGTTGAAGATATTTTAAAAACTATTAAATTATGGAGGAAAACTGTATAAATATAAAATATAATTACAATATAATCAAACATGGAAATTTTTTAATTAATTAAAAATTAAATTGTCGAGTTGTAGATATATGTAAGGGTATTATTTTAAATAATTCATTTTATTATTTTTTAGTTATTAGTTGTATATTTAAGTTATTACCATTCTACTATAAGAATATATATTTCTTCACTTCTTTATTTTGATACAATTATTAACTTTCAAGTTATTCTATTTAATTTTGAAAAAATAAATATATATTTAATAAAATAAATAATACTTCATAAGAATATTTTCTAGAATTCAAAATAATATTAAAGAAATTATTTTATTATTAATTATTTATGGTTTTTTATTTTACAATAAAAAACTTAATTTTTCACTTTTTGTTGGACAATTAATTTTGTTATAAAACACCTGTGTCTTTCACGAGCGTTGTACTAATATATAATTATGGCTATAGTACTATTATAATTTGCCGAATATTTCAAGAGAAAATTACGCCTACAACGAGATCATCACAAAATATTTGCAAATATACTGCTATAATATTTTATTAGCAAAATTAGAAAACCTATCCTAAATATTTGCAAATCTACGGAAGTTACTAGTTAACATCTATTTCTCTCTCCTCTCACTTTTATTTTTTTACGGAAGTTACTAGTTAACATCTATGTCTCTCACCTCTCACTTTCATTTTTTTCTTCTTCCCCCAATTTCTTCCCCCTTTCATTTTCTTCAGATCTCGACGACGTCACTGTTCAGTAGCATTTCATCTTTCACCATGAGAGCGAAAGTGAATCATCTCTAGCCCATGTGTCATCTATATCATACAAATTAATTTTGATTCCATTGATTTTTGCTGCAATTTGTATACCCTGCATATATATATATATATATATATATATATATATTTTAATAGTGGAAGAAGAAGAGCATGAGGAGATTGAAGAGGAAGTGCCTAAAGATGAGACAAAGATCCAAGTAGTTTGCTTTCATGTTTTTTTGTTGTTTTTCATAATCTTGTATTAGAATTTTTATGGATTTTGTTTTTGATTTGATGGTATTTCGTGTTCTCGCGGCGACAGGCGGGTTTAGCCGCATTCCATATCGCCTCTCGATTGGAAAAATTGAGCCCTAATTCCACCGGATAACCGCAGCAACAAACCGATTCTGATTTCGGTTACTCGATTTGTTGCTGCGTTTATCAAAGACAAAGCCTGAAAATTACTAACCGCCGTTCTCCCTAGTTCTCAGTTTTTTTGAGAACTTTTTCATTTGATTTATTATGTTTGGGATATGTTGCGTATATATACAGTATATTTTTCAGTATATATTTCCGTAAACACAATCGACAGTATATGTTTCGTGTATAGGAAGTATATGTTCAGTATATGTTTTCGTTGCCCGTATATTTCTCATCTGGCCCGTGCTTCTATCTCTTCTTCACACGCCAGAGAAAACGAACAAGGTGGCTCTGAGAGGGCCTGCGATCAAAACAACAAAAAGAAAAAGAGAATAATAAACTGAAGAGAAGAGAACGTAAGAGAACGTGGTGGTCTGTGGTGGTGGCTTAGTCATTGTGGCTGATAGCTGGAGGCCGCGGGGTTCATGTCGTGGTGGCTATGACGGTCGCTGGATTGGCCGAAGTGGGCCGGAATAGAGATCGCAACTAAAAACAGAAAAAGAAAAAAAGAAAGAAAAAAGAAGTGTTCGTGCGCAGGCTAGAAGCCGGAGATGCGATGGACCCCTGCAGTTGTTTTTTAAAGAGACGACAATGGACTCTAGCGACTGCACTTGTGGATGACGGGATATAGAGAATTGGGTGTGTAGAAGGAAGGAATTAATTTCTGAAATTTGAATTTTTATGGTCTAATGTGCTTTTTGTATATCTTCTGTATATATTCTGTATATATTTTGTGTATGTAATGACAAGATTGATTTATCTGTTGTGTATTTTCTATTATGTCGGTTATATACAATGAGTATATCTTCTGTATATATTCCCAAAAAATATACTGTTTTTTAGTATATGTTAAGGTCGACAATATATTTTTAGTATATGTACATGAGTATGATTTCAACTTGTTTTATATACTGTAAATATACAAACATTATACAAAATAAATTAAGACAAATTGCAAAAATTAAAAAAAAAAAAAAAACGAAAAAAAACGTTGAAAGAAATATACATGGTTGACTAGGTTCCTAATTTGTATGTTATATACACTTACCTTTTTTTCTTTCAGTACAATTCTAAAGATCCGTGATTGTAGGAAGGTGAGTACGTGGTCTATTTGTAATCCCCCAATTTAAGGAGACTTTATCTATTTTTTTGGGGTAACTGATATCTTGAATAATCACAAATAAATTCCATGCGTAAGTTTGCAATTAAAATGCAACCCTTGGTATTGTTGCAATTATTCTTAAATCGCTATGTATATATAAAATTGGGAAATTTACATACTTATACCATATATAAGACTTATTTTCATATATACAAGTGGTGAGAAATTTTATCAATTAAGGATTCTGGAGGATAAGTATTTTCAAGATTACGGATGTTTGTATCTTTCCAAATAGCTTCTCCCATTTAATTAAGCTAATTAACATGGAATCAAAACGGATCAAAAAAAATCTTATCAGGCACACCTCCTCCAAAAACCCCCCGTGTAGCCGTACCTCAATTCCACGCCACCATAGCTTTCTCCACCACTGATGTTGCCGTCACCGTCGCTTCACAACCGCCTTTGCTCATGAAATTCAACATCTCGTCTCTCTCGCCGAGCACTCTCCTCATATCCTTGACGCTTGCCTTTAAATCGGTCTCCACACCCTCAAAATCATCGATTTTTTCTTTCAGATACGTAATCTTCTCGCCTTGAAGGTGTTTTGGGCCACGCTGGACGAAACGGGCCGCAGGGTATTAGGCCTGTGCATCGCTGGTGGGCTGGAGGACGCCTGACGGGCTCGCGGACTGATGTTGGGCCTCGCGGGCTGGGACCGGGCTTCGCGGGATGATGTTGCTGCTGGCCACGCCTGTGCGCGGCTGCGGCCTGCCGGCGCCCGCCTGCCTGGCCACCTTGCTGGAACGTCTTCGTCGATCTGGAGTAGTATCCTCTTCTCCTCCTGCTACCACAAGTGCCAGTGACTTGCTATTTTGATTACGAGTTGTCCAGCAAGTTCGTGGCCAAGTTTGGTTATCATTCGACGAGTTCCCTGTGTTTACAAATCTTTGTAATATTTGATAGTACTTTATGTTTAATTAACATTATGTTTAATCCCTTTTCAAAATTGTTTATATGTTGTTTATCTTATGTATAATCATACGGTTAATAATAGAGAATTGTCGGATCGTGTTTATCTAATGTATATATACAGTATATCTAAACATATATTTGTTGGTTGGACAAATTTTTTTTTTTTCGAATTCAAAATGTCGTTTACCGAATTTTTGCTCTACCGAATTTTTTTTAATTCCCAATCGGGATCATAACTTTTTTCTATCGAATTCAAATTGTTTATATGTTGTTTATCTTATGTATAACTATATGGTTAATAATAGAGAATTGACCGATCATGTTTATCTAATGTATATATACAGTATATCTAAACATATATTTGATGGTTCTACGAAAATTTTTTTCAAATTCAAAATGTCAATTAACCGAATTTTTGCTCTACCAATTTTTTTTTTCTATTCCCAATCGCCTTTATGGTTGTTTACTTCATGTATATTTTTAGTATAATTATATCATGCGTATAATATTTATGAAAGAAAAGAGCTAGTATAATTATAACGTATATAAGTTGTACATCTAATAATATGTTTTGTGTACGTTTGGGTAACTGTTGTGAGTGGTTATTAACAATGACTTTTCGGGACTGTGGTAATGGTTAAAGTTGTAGGAATGGTACTTTTAAGAATGTTAATGTGTATATATTATATAAATAATTTTCTGTGATCATACAACATGTATTCATACTGCAACTTCTTCGAAATTGAACCAAGTGATTCATCCTAATTCTAACAATTATTTTTTCGTGATTATCATGTGAATGTTCGGTCTACTGTGGTTCACCTTGCGGCTAAGAGATCTCAAACGAATCCGCCGTGCATGATTTTGACAATTCATAAGGCAATTCTATCACAAATGATTCGTCCGTCCTTTTCACCATTGATATTTTCATCAAAAAGAGAACATACCAGTTCAAACTTTTTTTACACTATGAATAAAATGATATAGAGGAGGATTGTTTGTAGAAGAAAGAGAGACGTAATTTATTAATTGGGATCAACACGATATCCCATAGAATTCGGTACCTTAATCTATACAACATACTTTAAATGAAATCTTATAAAATAAATGTATCTGTTTAGCTTACAACTAAAAGATAAACGTAAAACTAAAAATATAATATATATATTGTAAATGTGAAAATATAATTTAAGGCAATCGTTTTTTTTTTCTCCAAACCATAAATTCATTAATTAAAACTCGGTTTTATACATATAGGTAACCAACGGGTTACAAAATTTCCAATCAAGACAGACCTTGATCAGAACAAGAAGGGGGAATACATACTAGTATACCCCTAAACAACCACAACGGTCAACAAAGAACCAAAATCCCAAAATATTTACAAATACATAAACTGAACATTAATAAACCTATCTGTCATAGCAAATATATCACATGCAATCATACACACAGATAGATCAAAAAGCTCCCTCTTCTGCAGCATATCAGCCAATTTTCTGTTTTTAAAAGCAATGGTGAGCTTCTGCCATTTTCTCTGAATTCCTTCTTCCATTTTGTCTCTAACTGCTATCAATTCTTCCTCCACTGAAGGATTAACAAAATCCTCACTAGAGTAGACCCATTCTGCCATTATATTACCTTCATTCCAAGCTTGACCTTGCTGCATTGCATCTGTGGAAGAAGAAACAGTAGCACTGGTTGATCCTAAGACCCCCCCTACTCCCTGCCTCTCCTGCTCCCCAAAATAAGTAGCTTCCCCCATGATCTTCTTCCTCTGCCCTTTCTCAGAATGCATAACCCCTGCTGCTTCAAATTCCATCCAATCCCATCTTGCTAATTCTACTAATTGTACCTCAGAACATTCTTTCTTCTCAAATAACCAACCATTCCTTGTTTTCCACATCCACCACAATAAATAAGTTGAAAGAGTAATTCTATGGCTGTTGTGGATACTGCTTTTCAGGTTACAAATGTCAACCCACCAATCTTTAAATCCCACCCCTTTGTGCTCCAGCTTGTCCCATTCAAGCCCTGCAATTTTCCAGATTTTCTGTGCTCTATCACAATGAAAGAAAAGATGATCAATGCCTTCCTCTATCTCCCCACACCAAGGACAATATGGATCTACCTCCATACTCTTCTGTATCAATCTATCATTAGTTGCAATCCAATTATGCCAGCATTTCCAGACAAAATGTCTCAGTTTATGCTTCACTGGCAACTTCCACACAGTCTTCCACACTCTTTTCAATAGTTTCCCCCCATCACTTGTCCCCACATCCCCTAGTCTTCTCTTCTTATCCCTCTGAATAGCCTGATATACACTCTTGACAGAGAACAATCCCCTTTTATCAAACTGCCACACCATTTTATCCTTTATTCCCATCTGACTAATATTAATTTTCAATATATTTGCAGCATCAAAGGGGTTAAAGGATTGGTTTATCAACTCAGTATCCCATCTCCTCTGCCCTGCAATCATTAAATCAGAAACCTTACAAATCCTTTCCCTGTCTCCCTGAAAACAACACCTAGGCTTAAACTTTGGTGACTCAGGGATCCATGGATCATCCCATACATTAATTGACACACCATTTCCCACCTGATACCTAGCCCCCAAAGCCAAAGACTTCCTAGCTTCTAACCAACATCTCCACATCCATGAGTCATTACTCTTAGCCTTAACACACATAATATTCTGCTTGTAAAAGTACTTACCTCTAATCACCTGGCTCATGAGAAGATTAGGATTAGTTAACACTCTCCACAATTGCTTAACTAGTAAAGCCTCATTAAAATCCCTTAAATCCCGAAACCCCAATCCCCCCTCCAGTTTAGGTCTAGTTATCTTCTCCCAGCTACCCCAATGAATCTTATTATCTCCTTCCCCATTCTTCCCCCACCAAAAAGCAGCCACTACCCTGCAAATCTCTTGACACACACTCACAGGCACCCTAAACACTGACATAACATAAGTGGGCATGGCACTAAGCACAGTTTTTATCAAAATCTCCTTACATGCTTCACTCAAAAATCTATTTTTCCAACTAGTAATTCTGTTAACCACACACTCTTTAACAAATGCAAAAATCTCTCTTTTATTCCTCCCAATACCTAAAGGCAGCCCTAAATACTTAGCTTTCTGAGCTTCCTTTATACCATGAAGTTTTTGGCAAATCAAAGATTTCAAAAACACAGGGGTATTCTTAGAAAAGAAAATGCTGGATTTATTAAAATTAACAGCCTGACCCGAGGACATACAATATGCAGATAATATATTAAGCAACAGAGAAGCATGATAACTATCAGCTTGACACAGAATTAGTGAATCATCAGCAAAAAAGAGATGTGAAATTATAGGGGAAAATCTGCTGATCTTAACACCCTGAAAAGACTGACATTTACAAGCTTGTTTAATAAGGTTAGAAAGGGCTTCTGATAGGATGATGAAAAGATAGGGAGACAAAGGGTCCCCCTGCCTTAGCCCTCTCGAAGGAAAAAGATTACCCATAGGTTGACCCTCAAAATTGAAAGAAAAAGAAGAAGTAGAAATACAAGTCCTCACCCAACCCAAAAATGTCTCAGCAAAACCCATTTTCCTACACACTAGGATCAAGAAGTCCCATTCAACCCTATCGTAGGCTTTGGCCATATCTAATTTGAGGGCCATATAGCATTTTTTCCCTGATTTTTTTCCATTCAAAAAATGTAAACATTCTTGAGCAAGGATGACATTATCTAAAATTTGCCTATTAGGCACAAAAGCAGCCTGAGCTTGTGAGATACAGCAAGGAAGAATAGGCTTTAATCTATTAGCTAGAACTTTAGAAATTATTCTATAGGTCACAGTGCACAAACTGATAGGCCTATAGTCAGTGATTTTTTCAGGATTTTTAGATTTGGGAATTAAAGTAACTACAGTATGATTAGTAGCTCTAGGGAGAGAAGAAGTATGCAAAAAATTAGAAACAGCAGCTACCAAATCATCTTTAATAATGTCCCAAGAAGATTGAAAAAAAGAGGGGTTAAAACCATCAATACCTGGGGCTTTTAGGGGGTCCATGTCCCACAGAGCTTTCTTAACTTCCTCTTCATCAACAGCCTTTATGAGAGTCTGATTCATTTCATCAGAGATAGATTTGGGAATACCAGTGAGCACACCAACATTCAAATTGGGTAAATCTGTTTGATACAATCTATCAAAAAATTGAAGCACCTCAGCCACAGCCTCTTGTCTCCCTTGGCATCTTTCCCCATTCAATTTAAGTATGTTATCCAAGCAGTTACTAACTCTTCTTTGCTTTACACACGCATGAAAAAAACTGGTATTTCTGTACCCCTCCTTAAGCCATCTCACTCTAGCTTTTTGTTTCCAGAACATCTCTTCTTCCTTGTAAGCTTGGTGGAGCCTAGTTCTGCACTCAAACCATTCTTCCCAGTTTCTAAATCCCCCTTGAGATCCCAGCAATTCAAGCTTAGCATTACAGATTTTAATTTGAGTAGCTGAATTAGATCTCATTCTACCCACCCACCCCAAAAGACACTCTTTAACACGCCTTAATTTCTGCTGAAATTTGTACACCCCTCTCCCATACACACACTGTCCCCAAGCCAACTGAACACACTCCTTAAAACCCTCATTCTTAGCCCACCTACTATCATAAAAGAACCTTTTTTTACAATTCACATCAGATGGCTGAGATTCAAACATGAGCATACTGTGATCTGATGCTACCATAGGAATATTAAGAACTGAGGATTTTGGAAACTTTAGTGACCACTCAGGAGATAGAAATATTCTGTCAAGCTTCACTTCGATAAAATCATTCCCTTTCCTATTATTAGCCCATGTAAAGTGATGCCCTGTTGTAGGGCAATCCACCAAACTTAGGCTATGACAGAAACTTCTAAAACTACTAAAACTAGACTCCTCTCTCCACACTCCCCCTTGCTTCTCCCTATTATCTAGAATAGCATTAAAGTCTCCCCCTATAAACCACAACCCCCCCCAGTGAAAATGATGCCTACAAAGGAGACTCAATTGCTCATTTCTAACCCTATGATCCACACTAGCATAAACAAAAATAGCCCAAAGGACCTCCTCTACCCCTTGCAATCTGAAACACACCTCTAAACTAAAACAATTATTAACAATCTCAATAATATTAACTTTCTCTGACCAACACAAAAGAAGCCCCCCAGAAGTACCCACAGGATCAACACACATCCATCTATCCCCAATATTTAAATTTTTGCAAACAGTAGCAACAAAAGATTTTTTTTTCTTAGTTTCAGAAATAAAAGTGAAAATTGGGAGATAGGCTCTTAACTTAGCCTTCAACTGGGGAATCGTAGAGGGTCCTCCCAAACCTCTACAATTCCACACCAAGACTCTCATTTGGAGACTTGGGACCAGTTATGGCTGATTTCCTCCACCATTGTTTCAAAAAGAGGTTCTTGAATTTTTTGTTTTTTATGACCAGACACAGACTCATTACCCACTTCAGACACCCCCTCTGGCTCTTTTCTTTTAAGGAGAATTCCTTCCTGAGAAGGTCCCATCCCACTCTCTTGCCCTTCAGGAGACGTAGGACTGCCTTCTGCATGTTTAGTTCTAGCTATTCTAACAAAAGTTTTTTTCTTTGTTGAAAGAGAAGGATTTGTAGCATCTTGATTCACAATAACCTCCACCATATTAGGGGATTCAAGCACCAACATTGGTGTTCCATCCATCTCCATATGGGGGCTGCTACTACCTTTGTTACCCTGCAGATCCTGCACATGATCTTCAGGGGCCTCTTGATTATTCCCTAATAACTCCAACTCCCCACACTCCTTATCAGTATTATTGTTCACACCCCCTATTGACCCTAACCTATTCACCTGTTGTATAGGACTCCTACTACCCACAAGACTTCCCCTTTGAGGAACAATTTCCTTAGCCTTACTGGACTCTGTGGTTTGCCCAATTGTATTACCCTGACTAGAAGATCTATACTCCCTTGAGTCACTAAAATTCACAAAGTTTCCTCTGAGCCAATCTCCAAACTGGCCAGCTCTAGTGATTTTCCTCTGAACATCTAACTTCTTAAACTCACAGGCTCTGTCACTATGCCCTATTCTCCCACAATAAAAACAAAAAGTCATCAAGTTTTCATACCTAAATTCTACCCATTGCTCATCCTCGCCCAAACTAATCAATGTACCCCGGGGAATAGGTTCCAATATGTTAACATCCACTAAAATCTTCATAAGATGGCCATTTGAACTACCTGCCCCTGGTGTAATCACATCTTTCACCGCACTAAACATCTGCCCTATCTTCATCCCAGTTTCCAGAGAAATCCAATGTAGAGGTAAGCCATGTAACTGCACCCATAACTCAACTTTGAGTTCACTATCCTTGAATTCAATATTGTGAGGCTGCCACTCCTTAAGTATTAAGTATTGCCCATCAAATGACCATGCTTTCCCCCTCAACACCTTGAGCTTGTCTTCTTCGATTTGGAATATGAACTGGAACAGATTAGGCCCTAGCATCTTAACAGTAAACGGTCTCCCCGTTCTCCAAATGATCCCCATTGTAGCCTTCAACCCTCCCAGATTAACCTTTTTTTCCCCAATAATTTTACCAATAAGACTAAGCCCGCACTCCTTAAGCCCAATTGTAACATCAGTATCTGCCAACTTCACCCCTGCTTTCTCCTTCTCCGACAATTCGAATTTCTGGAATTGCTCAATGATCCCCAAATCTATCGCCGATCGTTTTTCAGATTCCATAACGCGTTGAGTCCGAGAAACTTTCCAGCTCTATGAGTTGCACCAACCCACAAACCCTAGATCCGATGACAGAATAAACTGAAGACAGATTTGAAAGACGAAAAAGAAGACACTCTCCCAGACGAAAAGAAAATATCCAAAGAACGATACAAGACTATAAGGAATAAACGAAAAAGATCCATTTTCAAGAAAAGAAACTTAAATTTGCCATCCAATTCATGGAACTAGAAAACCCTAGAAAGAGACTTTTTTCTCCAGAAAGAGACTCCTATCCTGAAAAATAAACCCTAGAAAGAGACTTTTTTCTCCAGAAAGAGACTCCTATCCTGAAAAATCTTAATTTAAGGCAATCGTACATGGGGTAAATTTCTCTATAAAATTCTCCCATATTTCAAAAGGGCAAAATGCCCGTTTCTGCTAAAAACGAGCCCATGTATTAATCAGCCCAATTCACAAGCCTAGGGCAAATGAACTATATATACAGTCCATCCAATCGCCGGAAGAAGAAAAGGTGCTTGTACAGGGCAGGGCTCTCGACCGTTAAATCTCTCAAGTAAAATTTTGGCCTTTTCTATGTTACCATCTTTCAACATAAATGCTGTTATTGGAGTTCTGTTTGATTCTCAAGTAATTTTGTTTGATTCTGTTATATAGAGATGAAGGTGATAGCAGCTTATTTGTTGGCTGTTTTGGGAGGCAACACCACCCCCTCCGCCGATGATGTGAAGGCTATCCTTGGCTCAGGTATTTTTTCTTTTATTTTATTTTTGGGAATTTTGGCTTTAATCATGGATTGAATCATTTGAGGATTTTTGTCGCCTATTATTAGATTTTGTGCTTCTGGTTATTACAGTTATCTCAATGCGTAGATTTTAATATTTTCAGTAGTGTGATATGCAACACTTGAGGATGCTTAATTGAACTTTTAGGTCACTTTTTTGCTGTGTCGGTTAATGTGGTGATCTAAGGAGCCATGAAAACATTTAATCTATTTCATTTGGTTTGCGTTGGCCACATTTCATTATAGAGTTGCAATTGTGGCCTTATTTATTTTATATAAGTAAACTGACTTGGTGTTTGCAATCTATTCTTCTCTGTCCCACATTTTGTTGAATGAATTATGGCAAATGTCTTAGCAGAGATTTATACATGGACTGTTATCCTGTTTGCCAGTTCTAATGTTCTCTTATCTGTTGATCTCCGTCAAACATTTGTTTTTTATTGGTCATTTCTCCATATATGAATTGGTATTCATATTGATTGACAGTTTATAATGGCATCTGATCCTACCGACATGTATGTTGGTAGTTTGCTGTTATTTGGTTTTATAGTAAGGCTGAAACTGAAACTGCACGCTTTTATGTTAGGCATTTAGCAGTCCTAAAGATTAGGGTTAGGAAGCCATACTTTTTCAATAGATATGCCTACTTCAAAATTAAATATCATAACACTAAAAATAACATAGATAAAAGTATAATATTTTCAAAACATAAGTATATCCAATTTTGTTGAAAAAAGTATGATGGCCAACCTGTCTAATGATTAGGCTTCCTCAGAAGAACTTCTGTTGGTTTTAAAGTTTGTTTTTCTTCTTGTTAGATTCGCATATTTGTTTGAAAAAGAATGACTGGCCAAACTAGACTTGCGGTTAGGTTGCCTCATTTGAAGAATTTCCGTTGGTTTCAAAGTCCGTTTTTCTCTCCTCATTAGATTTGTTATTGTGTGACTGCAAAACTTTGTTGGGTTAAAATTGTGAATTGTACTAGAGATTTGAATCTGTTCTTACTACTGAGCCTCACCTTGGTTTACCTAGTTGGAGCTGAGGCAGAAGATGAGAAAATCGAGTTGCTTTTGTCTCAAGTTAAGGGCAAAGATATCACTGAGCTGATTGCTTCTGGAAGAGAAAAATTGGCCTCTGTCCCCTCTGGAGGTGGAGCGGTGGCTGTTGCCGCTCCAGCTGGCGGTGCAGGTGGTGCTGCACCTGCTGCTGCTGATGAGACGAAGAAAGAAGAGAAAGTAGAAGAAAAAGAGGAATCCGATGACGTGAGAACAAATATATTTTTGCATCTTATTATATTTGTTGTGTGATTGCTGATAGAAATTTGATGACATTTGTTGCTGACTTTGTCAAAAAAATTTCTTTTCTTGCAGGATTTGGGATTCAGTCTCTTTGATTGAGAAGCTGCAAGCAAACCTATTCAACCTTTTAACTGTGAGTCTAGTTGTAGTTGATTTATTATTCGATGGTTTCGGCCTTAATTTTATAGTTTGAACTACGGAGTTTTGTTGTGTGGACAAATGGTTTCAGACCTTGATTTTTGAGTTTTTGTTCTCACCAATTTGTAGTTTTAAGCAATGTTTTAAATAGCACCGTATAGCGAGTTATGTAGCGCGCATTAGTGCAATTTCGCTCAAAAACATGATGAAGCGTTTACGATTTCTCGTTTTGCCTAAATACTTATGCAAAATGCTGGCGTGACAGGTTATTTGATGTTATTTTACGCTTTTTCGCTATTTATGCCATTTTCACTCTACAATAACAAAAGATCAAAATATTTAAAAAAATTGTTTAACTCATGTTTGTTAAAATTTAAAAAAAAAAATGTAATTTTTTGACTCATGTTTGTGAAAGTTAAAAAAAAATGGTTTGAACTAAAATTGTTAAATTTAAATTATTGATATATATTATAATATTTTAATAACTTAAATTAAATAATTTATTGACTTATGGTTTAATAGTTATATTAAGATAATAGTATTTAATGTTTTTAAAAATTAATACATAAATGTTATTGTTTTTAATATTTAATAATAAACTATTTTCTTTGACTAAAATGTTTATTTTTGTTGTATAAAAGTAAATGTAATCTTTTTACAAATATAAAAATTTCCATGCTCAAATAGTTTACGTGCAATGCTCTACAAAATATAAGGACAAAAATGTGATGCATTGCGTTTTGAAACACGGGTTTTAAGTGCTTTTGGGCTCATCTTGAAGTAACTTACAATTTGTTGTCTTGTTTTAAGTGCTTTTGGGCTTTTCCTTGTGTTCAAGTATTTGCAATTTCATTTTGGGAAATTTTTATGTATACTGTATGAAATAGAAAATATTATAATTATACCATTGAGAATTAAATAATTATAAATCTACCTAAATAAGTATTCTTTATTGCTTATAAATCTAAAAGCCGTTACATAATCCCGCGGCCTCAATCCCCCAATTCCCGCACGATATCCGATCAGTCGAATCCAGATAAAGATGTCAAGAAAAAAAAGCTAAACCCAAACGAAGGTGCCAGCACACAAGTACAATTGGAGAGAGATCAGTTATAATACGAATTAAGACCTTGGTACAAGTTCCACTATGAATTAAAAAATTGACCTTAGTACAAGTTCCAATACAAATTAAAAAATTGCTATCTCACCTTTATGCAGCATTAGAATGTGATTTTACACACGCACCCAAAATTTTTTTTATCTAAATATATGTTGAATATATATTTAATATATACATAAAATAAATCATAAAAAATGTTTGGTATATCTATTGTATGTATTTTCCATGATTTTACTAAATATAAACCATACATATACCGAAAATATATTGAATATAAATCATAGATATAAAAAAAATCAGTTATGCTTGTTTTAAATCAATTTTTGAATATTTTTTAGTATATGTTGAGTTTACGTATTGTTTATTTTGTTTTTATGCTTTGTAAACAGTTTTGCTAAAATATAAACAAGACATATACACAACAAAAAGACCTTATTTATCTATATTAATGTCTAAAGTAACTCACGCAGTTGTGCAGGTGGGTATATTTTGCGTTTATGTTAGTATATATTCAGTATATGTGCGTAGCTGAAATTCCTTAATTTACACAGCTGTCAGGTGGTATATATTGCGTTTATGTTAGTATATATTCTGTATATGTTGCAATGAAAAAAATGTCTTTCATCAAATAATTATATCTTCCTTTTTTTTCCTTTTATACATAAAAGTATATATATGTTTAAAAGCATATTATAACAGCTTAGTTAATATAAACCATATATATACAAAACAACAATAAAACAAAAAAAAAATCAATTTATGCTAAATATAAACTGATTTTATAATAAAAATTATGTCTCGCGGTAAATTTCTTTATCATATATCGAAAATATACTGAATATATACCATACATATACAAAATAAAAAAGAAAAAAAATCAGTTTATATTTTGTCTCGCGATAAATTTCTTTATCATATACTGAAAATATACTTAATATAAACCATACATGTACACGAAAAAAAATAAAAAAAAAATAGTTTATGCTTTGTCAATAAAATCTTATAATATACCAAACATAAACTATGAATAAACATTGAAAACAGAAAAAACATTGGCAAGTAATCAACTGAAAATAAACCATTCAATTTTAATTGAACAATAAAAAACTACAAAGTCTAGACTTATAAGCTAGAAATCAACTGAACATAAACTATGATGTATATCATTGGCAAGCATACAAATAAAATGATACAAATAAAGCAAATTCCCATTTCTGGCAAAAAATAACAATATACTGAATAATGCTAACATACTTGACATAAGCCAAAAAAAAGAAAAACACGATGTTAATCATTGATATCATCCTCTCGCCTCTCTCTACCTCTACCTCTCTCTAAAAAGCTAAAAAAACCAGATCCAGTTGCCTTCCTCCAGCAGGGGCCTCCGGGCCATCGGGGCGGCGGCATCTCTGGGCCGTGCGGCCGACGTTCGAATGCTTGTTGGATGGGCGGCTTCCTCTTCCCGGGTGAGCCGGCGGGTCAACCCATTTTGGATCTCGCCTCTTTATCGGTCGCCACGATGGGTTCTGACCGGCGGCTTCTCAGAGTATGAGCAGCGGTGCTTTTCCGGTAAGCTTTAGACCATGGGCTGCGGTTCCGATCATCAATTTGGTAACAAGGGGTGGTCGGGCTGAGATTGGGCCGTTTCGCTTTCCTTCCTTCTCCGAATTTCTCTGCTTTTGTGTTTGTTGGTTTCATTGGCGGAGTTAAGTTGGGGCTGGGTCTTGTGTCTCGGTCTCGGATCTTCGGGGTTGTGAAGGTGGAGCTTGTTTATTGATCTCCGGGCTCGGGTGTTGTGGTTGTCCACTCGGGAGGGCCATGGTTTTTCAATCTCGAGTCAAGTTAGGCGAACGAGGTTCTGCAGTTTCTGGCTTGCGACTTGGACCGGGTCTTGTCTGTGTGGGTGGTCGGCGTCTAGTTGTGTTCGGTTGGTTTCGGCTGCTGGCTGGAAGGGCTTTATTTTGTTATGTGTCTTTTATTTTTGTGTTATGTTGTTTTGTATGTGTTGTTTTGTAGTTTGTGCTTTGTTAGTGTCTGTTTGTCTGTTTTGTTTGTGTGATGTGTTTTTGATTTGGGCTCTTCGCCTCTGTGCACCCGAGTGTCAATCTGTGCACTCGAGTGTCACTTTATTACCCTGTTGGGGTCAGACACTCGGGTATTACCCTGTTGGGGTCCGACACTTGGGTATTACTCTGTTGGAGTCTTGTAGTTGTGTTAGTTGTTTGTGTTGTTTGTTAGTTTTTTTTTTCTAGCGTTTGCTAGCCGGTATTCTAGGCGGGCTTCTGAAGACCTGTCCTCCCTTTTTCGGTTGTTTTTTTTCAGCTGTTGGCTGATATGTATTCAGTCGTTGGCTGATGTATATTCGCACTTTTGTGCTTTTCGATTTATAATATTTCTATCGTTTCAGAAAAAAAAAAAAAAAAAANACTTTTGCTCTTCGTCCTCGTCATTGCTCAAATTATCTTGAATATTGTCTCCTTCGCTTTGATTTTCTTCTTCATAGTCAGGGTCTAGAGAGTTGCTTTTCCCTTCAAAATTGGGTCTTTTTGCTTTACGCCGTCTAGGGACAAATTTAAATGCAAATTCGGAGGATTTCGACTGAAAATCAACAGAATCGGGGGATGAATGGTGCTTTTGAACTTTTGTGGTGATTCTTCCACACAGCTAGTCGGTTTTTTTTTATGATTCTGAAGGCATGTTGTCTTCGCCATTGGTCGATAGGGTTTGGAGAACAAATTTTGACGAGAGAGGAGACGTGGGTGGTTTGGGAGAGATTTTGTTCCAATAATTAAGGAGAAAATCATTGATTATAACATTCCATAATTTGACAGATATTAAAAAATTGATATATGTGCAAATAATTATGGTACATTTGGTAGGTTTGAAAATAAATATATATTGAATGTATATGTGTAATATAAAGAATAATGTTTGATATAGAGTGCAAATTCATCTTTCGTTTTTCAAGTTCTCTATTGCTTTTCGGTTGCAAAATCTACTAGTATAACACCCATGTATTACATGGGTGGGGACGGTGCTTCATCCCGTCATAAAAGTGGGATGGGTATGCGGACAAATCAAATCCAACCCCTACCATAAATAATCAACATATTTATAGATAATCCAAACCTATCCAAGCCTAATAACGAAGCATGTAATTTTGCCACATGGGACTCCGAAGCATGCGAGCCTGCCAAATAGGCTCAACACGTTCTCAATTAATATATAAAGGGGATTTACTTAGCTGATATGTTGTATAATGTATTCGAGCAACATTTTGGCCCATCCGAGGTGCTCTGAAGCAAAAATAAGTCTTTCAGTATATATATAATGAGAAAATTTTAATTAAAATTCGTTTATTCCTTAACTATAAAAGTTACATGTATGGAAAAATCATAAAAAGAAATGTATGGATAAATCATTTTTATTATTTCTAAATTTTTTAGCAATTATATTTAACTCGTATTAGATGAGATTGTTTATTATATATTTATTTTTATTTATTTATTTATTTTTTTTATCTAACTCCTTTTATTTGTGGACTAGAAATTTATATACAATCTAGTAAAAGAGCCATTCTATTATTTCTCTAATACACGCAAAAGTATTTCCAATCTTGGTAGATGAAATTGTGTACTATATACTTCATATTAATGCATAAAATATGAACAACGGAAAAAATTACGAAAAAAATTATTCAAACGCTACCGTAACTTCAACATCAATACATTATAATATAATTAATTAAAATAACTAAAGTTATAACAAACAATTCATTCAAATATCTATAACTATAACTAGATCAATTGAATGTATGTGATTATTTTCTGTTCAATAAATATTTCGAAGCAATTGCTTTTATTGTTCCCTAATCTATTCCAACTAATTTCTCCCGAATAGTTCAAATATGCTAGTGTATAGTAACTTTTCCAACTAATTTTTCCTTTAAAAATTGACTAATCGTTTTCAAACATTTAAATTAGTATGATGCTATAATTGGGAAGAAAATGAGTGAAATTTAGAGAATTGAACTGTAATAATAATTGAACTATAGTTTTTATTTATTATAAAAAAGTAATGAACAAGAAGGATCACCTCGTAATTACCACAAATGCAAAGAAAAAAAGATACATCAAACAGAATTAAGGGTTAACTTTGCAACTGACATTATAAAACCGATGACCACTAACAATACTAAAGAAATACTTTATCATTGTTCAATGATNTAACGCCCCTACCAATAAGTATGTGAGATGATAATAAGAACACAACAATACTTTAAAACAAAATATATCTAAAAGTATTCACTAAAACTAGAAACCTTTTCAAGCAAACAAGATTAAGAAACTTTTCATACAATATATTTATTTACTTTTTGTCTTATTACTACTTTAAAATATTATCATTGTTTAAACATTATATTTTGACTTGCAATATATTTTCGCATAATTCATTATACAATATACTTCTTTTGCTTAACTAATTAACAAATAATGTGAAAAATTAAATATATAGTATAAATTCATTTTTTATATAATTTCAAATCACCAAATAAATTATGATTATTACGAGAATTTGTCTTCCTATCAATGTTCTAAAAATCGGCCTAGGCGGCGCCTAAGCGCTAGGCGGTGTTCCGACACCGATGATTTGGTCGAGTCGGCCATAAAAATCGGCCAGGCAGTCTCGGTGCCTCCTAGTCGGGCCTAGGCGGCCTTGGCGGTCCTCGGCGGTCTCAGCGGCTAGGCGGGTTCGGCGGGCTTAGGCGGCAGCAGGCAGGGATAGACGGGAAGATGGGGGAGCTCGGAGTTAACATGTATTTTTTTTTAAGTTATATACGATGTAAACGACGTCGTTGTCTCAGTTTAAACTTTAAACTTTAAATAAAAAAAAAAAAAAATCAGTGCCCTCTTACCAAACATAATACAGTACAGAAGCAGAACACTAACAGAGAAAACTCTCTACCTCATAAACCACGTTCAACAGCGACCTTTATTCAGCGGACCTCACTCGCCGCCGGACGTGACTCGCCGTCGGACGTGACTCGCCGTCGGATTCGACCCTCCCTCTTCTCACTCACTCAGGTAATTTTACTGTTTTTATGGGATTTTTGAACATTATGTTAGTTCACTTCTAAATAATTTATACATTATGTAATTAGGTTTTCTTAATTCTAAGATTTAATGGAAGTTATTGGAACCTTATTGTGTGAAATTTCTGAAATTTGGTGTTGGTTGGTTGATATAATATTATTAGTGTGTAATTGCTTAAATCATAATGATGTGGACAATGTGTTTGATGAAATTCCAAAGAGAATAACTTAGTAGAAATTTGACAATTATCATTGAAAAAAAAATTAGTATAAATTTATGTTCATTTTTCTTTGCTTTCTGCAACAACCTTATTTATGTATTATTTCATTATTTTGTTGTTAGGTTTTTTCAATGGCTAGTAGTCCGGCATCACAAAGTACTTCATGTGATTATCGGACATCCATTGAGGCTGAGAATGATTTGCAGCTTAATTGTTATCATATTTTCAATTTTCATTGTAATACATTTCATATTATTGTTTGTATTTAAGTTGTGGACATTTATTATAAGTTGAAGTAGTTTCATTTTTTAGGTAGAAAAAATAAATTAAAAAATAAGATATCTAATATTAATTTCTAGTCCACGCCTAGGCCCCGCCTAGGCGCTCTAGGCGCTGGTCGAACGCCTAGCGGGCGCTTAGCGACTTCTGAAACACTGCTTCCTATTAATGTAAACGTGAAATGAATTGGTGGAAAATTAAGACATCCAAAGAATAATAGTAGTAAATATCATTCCCAAACTTTCATTCACTCTTAATGGCATGATTGAAATAATGGAATGAAATTTGGTAGGAATGTAATGAGTTGAAGAATGGAATGATTATGGAAAAAGAATGAAACATGTTTTGTCATTGATGCGTTTGATATGCACAAGGAATAAGACCGGAATGAAATGGAATTATCATCCTACATTATCATTTATCACTATTTTATAGAAATAAATTAATATTTATATTAATGTTATTTTTCTTATTAACGATAATACTAATATTATTTTATTTCTAAAAAAAATACTATATTTTAATAAATATACTTTTATATTGGTACACTCATCTTATAAAACAAATAAGTGAACTATGTATTTATATACATATTAACTAATACAAATATATCATTACGTAAACCCCTATAAGCATATGTGGTCAAATATACTTTTTTATAATATAATTCTATTTATGAGTAAATATGTATTATATATGGTTATATATAATAAAATAAGATTTTTCTAAACTATTTATATATGCATTTTTTGTGAGTTTTATTTTTATATAAGTATTTAATATATCTAATTCAAATATGACTAATAAATAAAAATATTTTTTTTAATTTTTTATTTGAAATTTATTTTTTAAAATAATTTCATTTAAAATAATTTAATCATGATAATATACTATATATTCTATATTTATATATTTACTATTATTATTTGTTAATTTTATTTTTTGAAAAATCGATTCCTAAATATATGGGAATGAGAAAACCATCCATTAGCTATGAAATGACTAATCCCATGAGTTTTGCAATTCCCATTAGAATGGTCATTCTCTTCTAAAAAATATACCAATCATGGAAATAGGAATATGTAAGGGAATGATCATTCCATTCTCACGTCATTACCCCACACCAATCATGCCCTTATTAGTTGATATTATTATAGAAGACGTATCTTCAATATATAAGTACAGGATACACTGATCTTAAGTTGCCGTTCCGCACACTTCGTAATTTTACGTAGTAAAATGTTATGCTTTGTAATACGATCCAAATAAAAATTAATAATGTTTTAGACCAAATAAGTTATGATTGATTGACACAAATATACATATTTAGTATATTTAAACATTTCCATATAATTAAATTTATTATCTAATTTCTATAATGTGATTTGCTTCAGTTTCCAAGTTTTGTGCACCATCCATATTAGTCTGTTTTGAATATAAGTATTATAAATAAAAAAAATGAGTATATTGTATATAAATTATTTTAAAAACATACAATAATGTTGTAAATTCGCTTCTATTCTTTATTATAAAATGTTATATATTGTTATATATTTTTTTTTCAACCACAATAAAATATAAAAATGTATTTTTATTTTCATCTTTTGGTGAACATCTAATTACTTTTATTTGTGTAGTACGCAAGTATCGTACTAGTATAAATTACTATTAAATTTCATTCTTCAATTATTCGTGTCCATGGATCTTGCCCTACAAATTTTGTATGCATTTACGAGATCGACATTAATATCAAAATTAGAAATAATCTGACCCAAATGGTGAGGGCAGTGCTCTCATCATGTTTTATACTGTTGGATCAAAATATAAAAAAAATCTTGTTTTGTACCTATTTAACGGTTCCAATTTATTCGTAACATGAAGTTTTAAAATAAAACCTTAAAACCATTTTAGGATGAATTAGAAATCAGCTCTAAAGTTGAAATGTAGGGTAGTTGAGTTTATATAATAAAAAATAATTTTAAGTAGCTCAAAAGTTAGTTGGACTAAAAAATAAAAAAGTTTGCACGTCAATACCCGTCACCCCACGCGATGGCAAGGTCCGTAATGCGCGCAATGTCTGTTGCTGCCGCGACGACTGGACTGGTCCAACACTCCAACGTGACGAGCTTGCGACCTGTACGCACTTACGGGTGCCGAAAGGTTGCTAACTCGATTTTGGACACCTTTTTCATACTG